GATTATGTGGTTAAAAAAAAAATGGGGAAACTGAGGCTATAAAAGTGCCAAAGTCACCAGGCAGCAAGAACCATGCAGCCTTCTACAGGCGTTCCCATGCCATGCCATCGAAACAGCTCTGAACGCCAAGTGCACACGCTGTGCTGGCACAAGGCTGAAGGATTGGGGTTGTAGTAGATGACACCAACCTCAAGGTCCCTCCATCAGCCTGTGAAAGGTGAGAAGTTAAATGACTCGCCCAAAGGCACGTGGCTAAAAGGCAGCCAGAACTGGGCCTTTAGAAGATGTCTGTCAGACACAAAAGCCCAGTGACACCATGTCATCGTCTGTAACATCCACTCACTGTCCTGGAGCACTCTTTTTGTGGTTTGGTGAACTTCCTTCTGAGGGTCAGAGCAGTAAAATCAAGAATCACAGCAGACCAACCGTGAGGGAGTCAGTGGCTGGTCTAGAGGTGAGGACCACAGTGAAGACATGCGTCTCCCCCAAGCTTCATTCATTCTCAGCTAGAAAGACACTGGCGAGACCCGCTCGTGCAAGTGCATCTCTAGCACAGGGAAGCGTCCTCATGGCCTATGTCTGCAGCGTAAGAGAGCAGAGACCCTTCCCTGGAGGCCAAGGATGGTACACAACTGCAGAGGCCCGACTCGTCCGCCTTCACGTCTCCTGAGGCATTCCGCGTCTCTCCTAACAGAGGACATCACATCAGAGGCTCGTGCTGGCAGCTTTGGTCTTGGACATACAGTTGGGGCTCAGGGCTTTGTGGACACCACCTCCACCAAGGTCACACGGGGGAATCCTTCAAGCAAGCCAAGTTGCGGGCAGGGTGTCACCTCAGCAGTTGAGTCCTGAACCTCCCCCACCCAGCCCCATCGTCACGCACACACAGTGCTGCCACTCCATTCTATAGGACAGGCAGTCAGTGAGCAAAGAGGGACTCCTCCGAACCTGTCACTCTAAAGATCCGGTCCATACTCCAGGCATGCCTGCAAGAGCCCTGGTCAGGGTCACCGGACTCTGCAATGTTCTCTTGCAGTTTCTGAAGCTGACCTGAAACCTGATGGTCTCCAGTACACCCCCTGGAGTCACGCATACTGTCCCCTTCTGTGCTGGGACTCACATCCTCAGTACCTGCAAGGCTCAGCGTCCTCCTACATCCTCTGACCAGTGCTGTCTCTCTAGAAGTTTCTCCCTTTCCTCCCACAAATATTTGAGAGAAACACAACTAGAACTCCACTGTTTCTATAAAAGTATGTGCCCTCTTCATCAAATACCATTAAGATTTTCTGATTGCATCCTGTAGGCAATTCAAGATATCCCAACTAAACTACAAACTCCTGGGAATGTCACCTTTTACTGGTGTTTCTAATGCGGTTCTTTAGTGTTAAAAATGCTGTTGTTACTTCACGTGACAAAGAGCTTCCATACACGACTTTATACGACAACACTAACTTTCACATTTCTGACTCTGCTATCCGGAATAATCTCTCTGATATCTTGATATCCTCATATAACCTAAAATAAAACACAAAAGTGAAAATCTGAACGTATACTTCATCAGACAACGTCACAACAGAAATGAGTTTTAATATCCAAAGTATAAAGGTATTTGCAAGTCAGCTCCGCCTTCAAACCAATGTTCAAACGTTGCCTTCCCTACTTCATGTTTAGTTTCGTTTTCAAACAGGGTCTTGCTGCCTCACCCCGGCTGGAGCACGGCGTCCACAGCTCACTGCAGCCTCCAACTCCCAGGCTCCAGGGATCCTCCCACCTCAGCCTCCTGAGTGGCTGGGACTACAGGTACAATCTTTTATAAAACATCTTTTTGAAACATCTAGAAACTATAGGCAGGCCGCAGATTATACAAAATATAAAGAAGAGTAAACTCTGCAGCCGTTTGCTGCCTCCTACACACAAACGACGGTCCCTTCAGACTACACTACCTGGTTTTCCCATCCTTGATGGAACTGAAGTTCTGTGGGATGAGTGAAGGGACCAAATAAGCGGAAGGTCTCTGTCCCCACCCCCAATGTTCTCACATTCCATCTGCCCCAGCAGAACACCAGCTCGAGAGCATTCCTGGGACTTGTACTCACCCCACAGGTGGGCCTCCACCCCACCCGCCTGTGCAGCCTCCTCCTGCAGTCTTATAATCTTGCAGCTGCACACATTTTTCATAGCAAAAGTATCAGGTGCGCATTAAGCACCTTGTGGCTTCAGGCAGGTGTTTCTTTTATCCAAAAGATGGACTAGCTTGCCCAGAGCCAGCCAGACCGTTAACTGGCCAAACAGTTAACACTCCTCACAGGAGGAGTGTGAGGCCTGTGTCTCCCGACCGACGTCTTACAGACAGTTTCTGTGGCTCTGAGCCCAGATCTCCAACGTGTCCCAGAATCACTTGGGTGGTGTAGTACAGCTGCAGGAATGTCTGTTTTGGGATTTCTGGTCTGCAGCTTACCTTCTATTTAGGTTGAGCACATGAGTTAAACAACGGACTTCAGCTTCTTCACTCATTTAAATGCAAAATCACAGAGATGCAAGATGCCTGGCACACAGGCACAAAATCTCAGCTACTATCCCTATGTCAATGCAAAAATTTTTAAATTTGAAATCGTACTAAAAAAAAGTATTTTTCATTCAAGTCAATAAAAAGTCTCTTCTTGCAGAGAAAGAAAACACAGTTGTGTGCAGAAAAGCCGAACAAGGAGACTTTCCTTTTCTCCCCAAGTCTTTTCTTCCAAATTCGCTATAAGGCTCTCAGGCCCATTGAGACTGAAATTGGCACGGGCATTAAGTAGTCAACCAAAGGAACTGCCAGTGATTGAGCTACGTATCCCTTATGCATAACCGAACTTACACCATTTTCAACTGAAAAATTGAAAAACAGAGAATGGATCGTTTCCTCACTGACAGGTGCTTGCCACTCCAGATGATAAGAGAATTCTCCCCCGAGCATCCCTCTGGAAGGTGAGCTGAAGAGTGGTGCAGGGCGACCGTCACCACCTGGTCTTCTTTTCTGACGGGTGATGGGGTGATGGCTGAGCAGAGGCCTCTCCAAAGACTGGTGGTGGGGGATGTCCTGCGCACGGGGAAGTGCCTCCAAAGGCACAGAGGAGCACGAAGGCAGATGGCAGCGGACAGGCAGCCTTCCTTCCCGGGAAGCTCCGAGGCAGACAGTGGCTGAGAAGTTCTGTGATGGAAAGGAGACCCACTTCCTACTCCTCTCCTAAAAGCCACTATGACAGCTTGTTTGTTTGCTAAAGTGGGATAATGAATATGTCATGAGGAGCACCAATTCTAATAAATTTACATTTTACCAATATTAAAATATAATAAAAAGTCCCAGGCTTCTCCAAGCCACACAGTGGGACAAGAAGCAGGAACACAAGTGCCAGCCAACTGAGCATGAGAGCTCAGGAAACCTGCACCTTAACAAGCAGCTCTCAACTATACGGACAAAAGCAAGCCTCCCCTCATCACCTGACTGCCAAAAACCTACCTGATCACCAACGTCTTAGGGGCATTTCACTTGTACACAAGTAGCCACATACATGTCTCAGCGCTTTCACACCAATGACTATTCCCTTTCAGCAGCCACACTTCAAGGAGGTAAAGCAGCTGCCCTCGTTTCTTGTCTCACAGTTGAGGACACCCGACAGAGAGGCACCTCCAAGAAGGTTAAGGGGCAGAGGAAGGTTGGAGGCCAGGGACATGGGGGTGGCGAATGCTGGCTGGACTTGAGGTCCAGGGCTTCTGAACCATAAACAACAAACCTTTGAAGGCACCACAGAGCTTATATGAGCTTAGACATACCTGTAACCTGCAATAAAAAACTAGGAACAATCAAAGCCAGTAATGTTTTCCCAAGACTGGCAATTTTACCACTAAAGTAAGTTTATATGAGGCAAATTTTAAATTCTGAAACAAGCTAAGTTACTCACATTTACACCTTTAACAAAATTCTTTATCGGTGACTAAAGCCATGATCCCAGAGGCCAGCCTTCTTTGGTTGAGAATGCAGCAGCAGAAGCGAGCTCAATGGGACGCAGATCTCCAAAACAGGTTCCCCATTAGTTCCTAATATATTTCCTTTTTAAAACTACCAGGACCATTTACTAAGTTTAAATGAACATTTCCCAAGGAAGGTAGCGATTTTTTTTTTTTCACGTGAAACTCACTGGAAATTGACGTTACATTTGCTATTTATACAAAGTGTTGCAAAGGTAGTCAGAAACAAAAAAAATCGAAGAACCATTCATTCACCTGCGTCAGGAAAAGCACAGGCTGAATATGAATAAAAGCAGACAATGAAGTACTGGCACACAGAAAACAAAACTGACAGGCAGTTTCCTTACAATCTTGGTGGAGACCCCAGCTAAGTAACAATTCTCCAGCCCCTTGGGATACAACGGCAACCACCCCAAGCTGCTGCTTGTTCGCATCAGGTCTTTTCTTTCTTTGGCACGGAAGTAAACCTCAGTTGCAACTCAAAGGGCCCCACTTCTATGCCCTTCCTACTCAAGCCAGGGACACTTGACGGAGAGGACAATGAGTCCAAGTCAGACCCTAAGGATCCTTTCTCCCCGCAGTGAGTTTCACAACCCTGAGCCTTGGCCGTGTTTCCACCTCCTGATGTCTGTAGAGACAGCAGGTATTTTCTTCTCTTCCCCTTTCTCAACTATTGTCCGCTGTTCATAACAGACAACCACAGAAAACCATCAACGATCCTTTGGGAAGAAAACAGCTTCAGGGGATTTCTTTGACTCTTCCAAAGAAAGGATACTGGCTGCCTCTTCAAAGAGTTTAAATATAGAAAAGTGGCAGCCTCTTCGAAGGAGAGAGGGGACACATCCCAGCTAAGCGCCACCCCAAGTGAGGGCCTCAGTGCAGGCCGCGGGATGGGTGAGCTGGGGTGGAGCCCGGCTGGGACAGGGGTTCCTCTTCCCCGGGGCACACCCTGGAGAGGGGCTGGGGTCTCCCGAGAGGACGGGCCGCCCTACCTTTTCCGCGGGGCCCCGGACCACCGGCGTTGCCGCTCCCCACGGCGTTCGGAGGGTCCTTCCTGGGCCTCTTGCTCTGCGGCCGCACGCTAGACCGGAGGAAGTGGTGCTGGTCCTGGGGGCTGCCTTGCGGCGGAGACGGCGCCTGGGGCGCGCTGGGGGGTGCGGGGGTGCCGTCTGCACCGGCCCGGGGGCTCTTCTCCTCCCTCTTTGTGCCGCTGCTCTCCTCGGCCGCGTCTGCGCCGCCGGCCCCTTCACCTTCCAGGGACTCCTCATCGGCCGCCCGCTTACCCAGCTTCTTGAGCCCGTCCTCCCCGCTGCCGCCGTCGCCCAACTTCACTGTCATCCTGCGGCCGGGAGAGGGGAGGCAGCCGGTGAGGCGGGCGCAGGCCGGGAAGTTTAGCGGCCCCGACGCGCTCTCAACATGGCCGCCGTTGTTTGTTCCAAATCCCCTCTCGGCGGCTCGGCCCGGCCCGCCCGAGCCCGCCCGAGCCCGCCGCGGCCCCTTTCGCCCCCGCGCCGCCGCCCCCGGCCCTACCCGCCGACCCAGGACCCTGCCGGGCCTCCCCGGACGCCCCCTGGCCGAGACCCGCGTTCAGACGCCCGAGCCCGCGGCGGGAGAGCGCGACAGCTCCGCAGACCCTACCCTACCCTACCCTTCTCGGCCGCGGCCCCGGCCCCGGGGGCTATGGGAGGCCCGGCGCGGGCGCGGGTCGGGGCACGGCTGCGGGTCTCGGCCGCCGCCCCGCCCGCTGCCACCTACCCGGCAGGGCCGCGGCTCATGGCCTGGCCCAGCGCGCCGGCCTCGCTCCCTGCGCCGCGTCGGCCGGCCGGGCCGCAGCCCCAGCCCTCGCCCCTCGTCCCACCCCCTCCCCGCCCCCCGAAACGCGCGGGGCTCCCGGGTCCCGCGCACCTGCCCGGCGCGCCAGCCCCCGGAGTTGGCCCTGGAGGAGGGCGGAGGAGGCCAGATCCACCCCGGGACCGGAGAAGCGCGGGCTCCCCTGCCCGCACGGGGAACTCCATGGTGGCCAACGCCGCCGGACGCCTGCTTATCTTTAAAGACATAAAGAATAACCAGCTCTCTGGGTCTCTGGGAGTCCCCTTCCCAGGGTGGGAGACGTGCGCTCCCGCGGGATCCACCCGTTAAAAGTGCTTTTGCAACAAAGGAGCCTGTTGCATGAGGCAGGCTGGAGGCACGCGGGACAGTGACAGCCGGGTGTGTCCGGGTCCAAGGGCGACAAGCGGGACAAGATGCTGTGAAAACTCTTGGCAACGACTAACGAAATTCCTGCAGCAACTTTGCCACCCCTTGCTCTGTAAAAACGTCAACAACGAAACGCAGTGACTGAAAACGCTGCAGCCCGGAAAGCAGAGCCATAAAAATAAGCCCAAGAGACTGGGGTACACACCAGGAGCTTCAGCCCCGAAACGGGCCGGGCACGTGCGAGGAGGCAGAAAACGCTCCGTGTTCCATCCCTCCGCGGACCGAGCCCGCGCGGCGCACCGCTGCTGAGGACACTTCCCGCACAGGAGCAGGCGACCGAGGCGCCCACGCTGGCCGTTCACACAGGACCCGTCCTCCCGAGATCGGAACACGGGCCAAGCGTCGCGACAGTGCCCGCCCCGAGGTTCAGGCCACACACGGACCCGTGGCCGCTTTCTCCGGTGGGAACTGACCCTGGGCATCGCTTTAGAAACTCTGCCAAGGACCAGAAACCACCGCGACCGACACCCCGGCTTCGGGGCTTTGGTGGCGGGGACCTCGCACTCTTCGTTCTCAGTCCGCCGCCTTCCGTGCACCCAGATCTCCGAAGGCCTCTCTCGGGCTAGAAGCAGAGCACCCCGCTGCCCCGGGGCCCCGGACTTGGGCAAAACGAACCCGCCCCCGCACCGCAGACGCCGTCCGAGCCCGGGGCGCCCCTTCGCCACCCAAAGCACCGGCGCCCAGACCCTTCCCTGAAGCCCAGCGAGCACAGGGATGGCCTCTCCTTTTCGCGACAACCCCCAGCGGGACTTGGCCGTTCTCGGAGGCGCAGCTCCTCGAGCCCTGGCCCCCCTCGCACCCGCCGGCGTCTCGAAATGGGGGAGCAGACGCCCCGTCGCCCTGAGGCCAGTTCTGGCTACACCGCGCGCTGTGGCAGCGACGCCCCGCCGCGCTCTCCCGCGCCATCCGACGGACCCCCCGTACGGGCCTTGCCGTGACAGCCCCGGCGCCCCGGCTCAGTCACCTTTTTCATCCACGCCCGGCGGCAGCCTGGCTTCCCGGGGCCTCCCCGGGCGCCCGCAGAACCAGCCGGGCCGGGCAGCCCCGGCACCCGAGCGCCGGCTGCAGTGAGGCCGCGATGCCGGGCTGGTCGTCCGCCTCAAAAGCGGCTGGCCGACCAGAGCTCGACCCGTTACGTCCCCTCCGCGGGCCGGCGCGCGGCTGAGGGGGCTGCGGGCACGAATGTTGCCGCCGCTCAGCCTTGAGAAGCCGGCCCGCCGCGCTCAGCAGCAGTTCCGGCTACGGCGGCCGGTGGGGACCGCACGGACGGCGCGCGGGGGCGGGGCCGGGGAGAGCGGGCGCGCGGGGCGGGGCGACGAGCGCGGAGGCGAGCACGCCCAAGGTTTCTTCGGGCGCGACTCCCCAAAACTGCGCTCCCATTGGCTAGCGCCAGGCGGGCGCGCTCGCACGCACTGGCCCAGGGAAAGAGTCGGAGGCGAGCCCGCGTCGCGAGTAGTGTTGTGACGCCAGCCCCGCGACCTTGCGGACCATGCGTCTCTTCGGATTGGTGAACAGACAGCCAATAGGCCAGCACCCAGGCTGTGATTGGCCGCGGCCGTGTTGACGGATACGTGAGAAGAAAACGCCGCGGTAGCTCGGGGACTGGATTCCGGCGCGAACCTGAGTTCTGAGAAGCGTGGGGGCGCGTGGGGCAGATACGCGCACCCTTTCGTGGGTGGGGTGTGTGCTTCTGCGCTACGTTGGCGTGGCTGGGCGGCGCGGTCTGGGCTCACTGCCATCTCCGCCTGCCGCGTTCCAGTGATTCTCCTGCCCCAGCCTCCCGAGGAGCTGGGGTGACAGGCGCGGCCACCACGCGCGCTAATTTCTTTGTAATACAGACGGGCTTTCACCGTGTTGGCCAAGCTGGCCTCGAACTCCTGACCTCCAGGGATCCGCCCGCCTTTTCCTCCCAAATTGCTGGGATTACAAGCGAGAACCACCGCCCCCGGCTCAAATCATAGCCTTTCTTTTTCTCTGTTTTCTCTGTCGCCCCGGGTGGCGTGCACTGGGCGGTCTCGGCTCGCTGCAGCCTCCGCCTCCCGGGGCTCGGGCCATCCTCCTCCTTCAGCCTCCCGTAGCCACCGCGCCTGGTTGATTTCTGTAGAGACAGGATCTCGTCATGTTGCCCGGGCTGGTCTCGAACTCCTGGGCTCCAGCGATCCGCCCGCCCCGGCCTCCCAAGCGCTGGACCCACAGGGCGAACCCCGCGCCCCGCCGCCAGCTGCTTTCTGGAGGCCCCCGGGGGGGCGCTCCCTGCCTCCCTCCGTTCTCTGGCGTCCGGGCCCCGGAGGGGGACATACGCCCCCAGTTACCCAACAGCTCGGGACACTGCCGAGCGCATCGCGTTTTCCAGAAACGCCGAGCCACGCCCTCCACTCCTAGACTAGATGAGCAGAGCCCAGCGAAGGCCCTGGCTGAGACCGCCCGCGGGGGAAACGCCCCGCCCCGAGATGCGTGGGAGAGAAGGAGGCGGCGGTCCTCCTCCACCTGGAGGGCCCCCCGCGGGATCGGGGTTGTGACAGCGCGCCCTCGACACACAGGGGGCCCGTCGCCGGCCCTGCGCCGCTGCCCCTCCTTCCCTCTCGGAGAGCAGAAGAACCCGGGCCCCGGCGCTCGGGTGTCAGAGCCGCTAGTGCGCGCCCGAGCGCCTTCGGCTCTTTCCGGCCGCTTGGGGCGGTTCGGACGTCGTCGGCGCAGCCTCGCTCACCTTCGGCTGTTTCCGCGTTCCTGGCGCGCCGTTGTCCCGGCAACGCGCGGCGGCTCAGCGGCCAGGCCGAGGTAAGTGGCCTTGGGACTACCGCGGCCGACCCAGGCCCTTAGGAGCCAGGCGGGGGTTTGGGGCCGAGGACCTGACCTGGGGCGGGCGTCGGGACCCTCCCGCCTCATCCCACGATGTCGTCGCCGCCGAGTCTCCGCAGCCTCTTGCGGGTCCCATCGAGACTGGGGCGGGCTTGGCGCGGGGTCCAGATCACCGGTGGGACGTTGGCTGCGGTCCCGGCACGGCCTGGAATCGCGGTGGATTCCGGTCACTGGGCGAGTCCCTTTGGGATGGGCGGGCCGGGGAGGTGGACTGCGCGGTCACCCCGCAGGTGAAGCGGGGCAGACGAGGGGACCAAAACAGAAACGTCCCATGCTTGTCCACACGCCGGGTTGCATCGACCCGCCCGCGCACGGTTTCTCAGTACGGTCCGCCGGAGGCAGCGCGGACCCCGAGCAGGCCGGAGGCTCTGGACTGTGGCCTGGAGGGCGAGGCTTTGTAGGGTGGCCCGGGGCGCCTGCCCTGAGAGTCCACCGTGGAGCCCCGTCCTGGGGTTCCCTGCTCAGCGTCGCCGAGGAGGAAGGGTACGCGGGGCCCTGTGACCGTGCGCCGCTCAGCTGAATGCGCTTCACAGATTCTTCCCCAAAAGCTGGTTTAACGGAGGCACCTGGAGAGGCTCTGCAGACGCTGGGCGCCCGAACGTGAGAGGAGGAAATCGGGTAGAATAAATACGGTGTTTCCGGTTCCCCAAAGTTGATACATTTCCCAGTTTTGTGTTCGGGTGACCAGGACTTTGTTTCGAGGAAAGGGAGGAGACTTGTCTCCAAACCGATGCTGTTGTAGGTTGTCGCCAAGTGCCTGGTTTACGGTTAGCCGGTCCCCTTCTTGTGTTCACTTTTCTTTTTTAACTACACAGGGAATGCTCTTTCGGAACCTGTTAAGATACGGGTGAAAGGAACTATGAACAGTTACATTTTACATTGTGTAAAAATGAAGCTCATTCAGGCAGGCCTGCAACCCGTTTCTTATATTAATAACTAACGACAGGAAGAATCTCTCTCCTTGCTAATACACGGCTTCACCTGTGTGGGCCTGTTCTGTGCAAGGCACTGTTTTAAGGGGCTGGGAATGCTGGGTTCCTCCCGCTCTGTGGAAATGATAACACGGAGGGCAGCGCGTGAGCAGTGAAACACATTTACAGCGAAGTCTAAATGCAGCCACGAAGTGTAACGCTGTATGGGGACGCTGGGCAGAAGCACAGGACAACAGCAGAGCCATCAGGCCCTGAAAGAGCCCCTCACCCGAAGCGGGGGGGACCTAGAAAAACCCCAGGCCGGAAAGAAAATAATTAGGTCGGTTCCCTTCATGCTTATTACAGTGTTGATCTGACGTATCACTCATTTTTCACAGAAACATTTTCACAGAGCAAACTGTTAGACGCTGATTTCCCATCGCCCAGGATTTATAACGTTGGCTGGTTGCAACATGTAAAAACGCATTTGGAGAGAAAGTCCCAGCTGCTTGGGAGACTGGGGCAGGAGGATCACTTCAGCTACAGGGAGCTGTGATCACGCCGCTGCTCTCCAGCCTGGGGGCCTCTCTCTAAACCAGTAAAATATGTATTTTTAATTTTTTTGTATTTTTACAAAAGGTTTCCTTTGCTATGTTAAATTGCCCAGAGTTTGATCTGGTGTTTCTTTGTTTGTTTGTGGGTTTTTGTTGTCGTTTGAGGCGAAGTCTCACTCTGTTATCCAGGCTGGAGTGCAGTGCTGCTGTCTCCATGTATGTGACTCCTCTGACTCCCACCCGCCTCCTGCTCCTCCAGCCAGGTGAGAGCCTGGAGAGGGAACCAGCCACACCACCAGGGCCATAGTCTGCCAATCTGTAGTCTGCGGTGGTGAGAGCAAAAACTATGACTGTGTTTAGTATTCAGGGCCTGTATTCATAGGAGAAAGGCGGCATCTGATATATGATGGTGCACTCATACATACCCATGTGTCTTCCAGCTTCTCATGGAAGAGTGTGTCCTGCAGAGCCAAACCAGTCTTCCCAGTTTTCACTCCGCAGGCAGCATTGTCCATTGTGCCCTTTTCTCCTGACAGAACTTCTCAGGTCTCTAATATTTTTGAACAATTTTTTTTGTTTGTATTTTTGAGACAGGGTCTCTCTTTATCACCCAGGCTGGATTGTAGTGCTGCAGTCACAGCTCATTGCAGCCTCAACCTCCTGGCCTCAAACGGTCTGCCTACCTTGGCCTCCTGAGACCTGGAACTACAGGTATACACCCCCACGCTGAGCTAATTTTTAAATTTTTTGTAGAGACAAGGTTATGTTACCTAGATGAGTCTCAAACCTCTGGGCTCAAGTAATCCAACCCCTTGGCCTCCCAAAGTGTTGAGATTGCAGATGTGAAGCACCGTGCCCGGCCTAAGCCTTTTTAAGTGTGGCTTAATATACATAAAACGAAGTTTGCTGTCTCAGCCATGCGTGAGCATACAGTTCAGGGGCGTTAAGTGCATCCGTGGTGTTGCTTCACCATCACCACGGTCATCTTCGGAAGCTTCTCGTCATCCCAAGCAAATCTTTCCTTGTTCCTCCTCCACCACCCCTGGCAACCACCCTTCTGCTTTCTTTTTGTTTTTGAGTTGGAGTCTCTCTCTCTCTCGCCCGGGCTGGAGTGCAGTGGCACAGTCTCTGCTCACTGCAACTTCCACCTCCCTCATTCAAGCAATTCCCCTGCCTCAGCCTCCCGAGTAGCTGGGATTACAGGTGCACGCCACCACACCCAGCTAATTTTTTTGTATTTTTAGTAGAGACAGGGTTTCACCATGTTGGCCAGACTGGTCTCGAACTCCTGACCTCAGCAGTCTGCCTGCATCGGCCTCCCAAAGTGTTGGGATTTCAGGTGTGAGCCACTACACCTGGCTACTTTCTGTCTCTATCATATTTGACTGCCCTGGGTTCCTCCTAGAAGTGAATCATACAGCATTTGTCTTGCTGTGTCTGGTTCATTTCATTTAGCATTCTGTCTTCAAGCTTCATCTTGTAACGTGTCAGAATTTTTCCTAACTAATGTTCCACTCTACAAATAGACACTGCGCACTTATGCATCAGTAGCCATTGGATTGCCGCTACTTTTTAGCTATTGCGCATGATGCTGCAGTGAACATGGCTGCATAGATGCCTGTTCAGGTTCCTTTCGATACTGGGAACTATCTACCCAGAAGTGGAACTGATGGAACCGATGCTGATTCTATGTTTCATGTTTTCAGGAACAGCCAGACCCCTCCACAGCAGGTGCACCATTTTACATCCCCAGCAGTAGTGTACAAGCAATTCCAGTTTCTCCACATCCTCTTTTCTGATAGTTGTCATAATGGATATGAAATTGAATTTTGTTTTTCTGAGACGGAGTCTGGCTCTGTTGCTGGAGTACAGCGACAGGATCTCAGCTCACGGCAACCTTCACCTTCTGGGTTCAGGCCATTCTTCTGTCTCAGTCTCCTGAATAGCTGGGATTATAGGCATGCACCATTGCACCTGGCTAACTTTTTGTATTTTTAGTAGAGAGGGGGTTTCGCTATTTTGCCCAGGCTGGTCTTGAACTCCTGAGCTCGGGCAGTCTGCCCATCTTGGCCTCCCAAAGTGCTAGGATGACAGGCGTGAGCCCCCACACCCAGCCTGAGTAATTTTAGATGGTGGCAGCCCAGTCTACAAATAAGCTCTTCTCTGCCAGTCAACTTCCCCAAGTTGACTATGGTGTAAAAAAGTGAGCAGTAACCAGCCTGTCACTTCATTTATCACCCTACCCCTCCTGAAAAGGCACAATAAGTGTCTGTTTTCCAGATCTGAAACGAAGAATGAGAGAGATTCAGTTCACGTAACTGATCAGGCTCAGCATCTTGTGCTGTGGCTGAGTGTTCCTGACTCTAACAGAGGGAGGCTTCTGTCTTCTAGCCCCTGTGAGTCAGAGGTAGGAGACAGTCTTGGATTTGGTGCCTTACTGGAAATTGAGTACTGGTTTTTTCTGTGCCGGTACTCTCTTCCGGAGCAGCTTGCTTTTATTTTGTTTGAAAATGTTGTTGAAAAGGCACCCAGTGGCTCATGGCTGTAATGCCAGCACTTTGGGAGGCCGAGGCAGGAGGATTGCCTAGCTCAGGAGTTTGAGACCAGCCTGGGCAACATAGCGAAACCTTGTGTCTACAGAAATTATTTAAAAATCAGCTGGGTGGAGCAGTGCAAGTCTGTAGTCCCAGCTACTTGAGAGGCTGAGGTAGGAGGCTCACTGCAGCTCAGGAGTTTGAGGCTGCAGTGAGCCGTGATCGTACCACTGCACTCTAGCCTGGGCGACAGAGTGAGACTGTCTCAAAAGGAAGAAAAGGCGAGTGCAGAAGTAGAAATGGTTCTTCAGTGCCTGGAATGACAGTTACCGAGGACTGCACGTGTGGTTTAGGCTGCAGGGCTCTTCTTTCCTCCTCTGCTGGCGTGAGCTGTGTTGGTTTCTCTCACGCCCGGGGTAATTCTGGGTCTGACCTGTTTTCATGCTGTATTTCTCCCTGTTGGCACTCTCCTCACAGCAGGTGGCTGCTGGGTCCACAAGGCATTTTCACGTTGCCAGCGGTCTTGCGATTGTGGGTTTGGGATGCTTGCCTTTTGTCGTTCCGTGTACATTTTATTGTCTTTTTTCTTTTTTTTATTTTTCCTTTTCACCTTCAGTTTCTTGCTGGATTGTTTGTCTTCTTTAAAACCTACTGGAGTCGGTCATTTTCTCCCCCTTGCAGGTTTCGGTGCTGAGCAGGCCTGAGTTCCGTCATGGCCCTCTATTTTGACCACCGGATAGAAGCCCCAGATGCAGCAGGGTCACCCTCACACATCAGCTGGCACCCCGTCCATCCGTTCCTGGCAGTCGCCTACATCAGCACCACCTCGACAGGCAGTGTGGATATTTACCTGGAGCAGGCGAGTGCTCAGAAGCAAGGAGCCTGACTGTGGTAGCGTCTGGTCCTGGTCGTCGTCGTTGTTCTCGTGTGTGTGTGGGTGTGTTTGTGCATATGGGTATGTGTATGTGTGTATGTGCATCTCTATGTGTGTTGGTGTGTGTATGCACACACGTATATATGTGCTTCTGTGTGTGCATATGGGTGTGTGTGTGTTGGGGTGTGTGAGCATATGTATGTGTGTGCATATGGGTATGTGTGTGCACGTGTGTGCATATGGGTGTGTGTGTATGTATGTTGGGGGTGTATTGATATGCACATGTATGTGTGTGCATCTGCATACACCCGTGTGTGCACATGGGTATGTGTGCATCTGTATCCATGTTGGGGTGTGTATGTGCGCATCTGCATGTGTGTGGATCTGTGTGTGTATGTGTGTGCATCTGTATGTGTGTGGATCTGTATGTGTGTGTATGTATGTTGGGGGTGTATTGATATGCACATGTATGTATGTGCATCTGTGTGCACGTGTGTGTGCATATGGGTGTGTTTGCATCTGTATCCATGTTGGGGTGTGTATATGCGTATCTGCATGTGTGTGGATCTGTGTGTGTATGTGTGTGCATCTGTATGTGCGTGTATTTGTGGGGGTGTGTATGTGCATGTGTGTACACACGTGTGTGTGTGCGTGTGTGCATGTGGTGCATATGTGTGTGCATGTGTATATGTTTTCAAACAAACTCTAGCTTATTCATGAAGAAAACAACATCCATCATCAGTTTGCACAGAGGTCAAATCCCCGTGTTATAAAAGCCCTCACAGGTGGGCAGTTCTTTCACCCTGGCTGTTGGCGTGAGGGTGTGTTTAGGAAGGCTAGTGCTTATCAGCATCAAGCGCTGTCAGTTCACGGTCACCACCAGAAATGGCCTCGCAGTCCTGCCCGTGGATCCTGAGGCAGCCTCCTCCGTCGGCACCCTTCTCTGTGCTCCACGATGGCTGCTGGGAACTCCAGTCATTCGCACAAACTGGGTGGCAGAAAACATCAGCAAGGTACTCTGGTGGCCCTGGAGGCCCAAACTGCAAGGTCAGGTGTCAGCAGGGCCTGCTGGCTCCGAAGGCTGAGGAGAGAGTCTGCTCTGAGCTGCTGGCCTGCTCCTGCTGTTCCCAGCAAGCCTCGGTGCTCCCTGGCTGGCACATGTGCTGCCCCAGCCCTGCCTCTGGTGCCGCACAGCCTTCTCCTCGGTGTCCTCTCCTCTTTCTAAAAGGACGCCGGGCATGTTTAACTAGGGCCTGCTCTAATGACCTCATCTTAGCTTACCCACATCTGCAAAGGCCCTGTTTCCAAAGGAGGCTACGTCACAAGGACCAGGAGATAGGACTCCCACACATCTTTGTGGGGGCACAGCTTCTCCAAGCTCCTCAAACTTCCACAGCCGCCTCTCAGTGCTCAGTGCCCTCATGCTCCGCAAAGAAAATGGGGTTTCCTCCTCCACTCACTCTTCAGGCTCCCTGTTGCCACCACAACTTCACCCAAGCAGCGACAGTCCTCACTTGCCTCTTGGTGTCACCCTCTGAGTACTTTGGAGTACTTGTCTGTGCCACACTCCTGTGAAGTCCTCTGGGAAACATGCCCAGAGCACAGGGGCGGGGCATTCCCTGCCAGGCCTCCATGGCTTTGCCAGCTCTTCCTCCATGTCCGGCCTGTGAACACCGTGGCCTTCCACAGAGCTTGCTCAAGGCCCCTCTTCATTTCTTCCTTCTCCTGTGATCTGAGCAAGCCCAGTGGCTTGCAGACCTAACACCTCCTGCCTAGAAGTTCCCTCAGAGCTGTAAGCTTAGGGACCCAGCTGCCTTCCTGACATCTCTGGGATGTTTCAAGGAGACCTCAAATTACACAGGACTGAACTAAAATTGTTCCCCACCCCTCCCTGCCTCATATCTCCCTCATACCTCCTGCTCACTGAGATGGGCACCTCGCAACTCAATGAAAGGTACCCCTTTGTCCTGGTTTCCAGAACAGGGACCTGGGCATGACTATTGACATCTCCTACTCCCCTGCCTTGTAATCCATCGCTATATCCTCCCAGTTTCTCCCTTGGAACCTCTGGTGAGTGTGCTACTTCCCACCCTTCCATCCACCTTTCCCTGCTCCAGACTCCCACCCGCTCTCGCAGACACCAGCACAGCTCCCTACCGTGGCAGGAAGCTGCACCCTCACAGGACTCCTCCACTCCACATGGCAGCCAGGCGTGGCCTGTCTTTTGGCCTCACAGATGGAATCACTCCCTGCTCCCACCTCCCTGGCCCCGTGTTGCTCCTTGGGTGAGCGTGGCGTCCCCGATGTGGCCCTGCCGCCTGTCACACTCTCCTTGATGCTGACACAGCCTTCCACAACCTTCCTCAGCCTTCCAGCCATGTACATGCTGTGCTGCCTGCAAAGAAGACATGGCCTCGTCCGTATGCGTCATTGATGCGTTAATCCTTCAGGTGAAAGTGGCTAAGCAGCCTCTCCCTCAGGAGCTGCCCCACCTCCGCGCCTCACCCTAACATACACACACACACACACACACACACACACACGTGCCCTTGCGGCTGGTGCAGTGCTGGTCAGCAGCTCCTCTGACTGCTGGCAGGCTGCTCTGTACATTGGCAGCTCTGCAAAGGCCATGCCAGCCTTATGGCTCAGGCTAGCCCAGCACCAAGCCCAGTTTTGCCCATTTTTTTTGAGTAGATTCTCCCTTGCAGGAGTCTGTAACATGTATTGTAAATGGAATTTTTTTTAAGAATAAATACTACTAAATTCCAAAATTATAGCAGTTTTATAAAATTTTTAAATTTAGAAGATCTAAAGCATGCTATTATAAAACTAGTCAACAGCATATTTCTGTGTCCAGTTGGCATAAGAAAAGCTTTAGGATTTCACAATAATGATCTATCAGATAATGATGAGGTCACAGAAGATGGCCCTTAAGCCCAGTGGAAGAACTGGGGGCAAACCAAGTTAATCTCTGAAAACACATTATATCTTCCCCAAAGCTGCTACTTCTTTAGAAAATCTTAGAAAACACAGCACATGGCCAGGCATGGTGGCTCACGCCTGTAATCACAGCACTTTGGGAGGCCAAAGCAGGTGGATCACGAGGTCAGGAGTTCAAGACCAGCCTAGCTAATATGGTAAAACCCGTCTCTACTGAAAATACAAAAATTAGCTGGATGCGGTGGCACACACCTGTAGTCCCAGCTACTTGGGAGGCTGAGGCAGAAGAATCACTTGAGCCCAGGAAGCAGAGGTTGCAGTGAGCCAAGATTGTACCACTGCACTCCAGCCTAGGTGACAGAGCAAGACTCCGTCTCAAAAAAAAAAAGAAAGAAAACACACGTATCTCACGAGCTGTCATCAGTGACATCACCACATCACACAGCCTTAGAGAAGCTCCACTATAGACTCGGGAGAGAAGGAGAGTATGAATGGCACCAAAACCGTCAGTATCATTCTGAAAGTAATTCTCACCTTTCAGAGCCCTGAAAGGGTCCTGGAGTCTCTGGACCACACTTGAGACCCTTGCGGCGACAAACCTCACCTGCTGGCTCACTGCCGGTTTTTGTAAATAAGGTGTTATGGAACCCAGCCACAGACACTAAGATAGGTGCCGGCCATCCTGCAGCCATGGGGAGGTGGTGGCACTCCTTGACAGGGTGGTCGGGGTTGTCAGCTAAGTGAAGGTTACCTTCTGCTTCAGTGGCTCAGCTAGGAGCCAGGTTGGTATGTGTGTATGAAAAGTTAAAGAGCCTACAGAGAACATTACCTTAATAAGTAGCTCTTTATAGCTTGTCACCTATGTGGAGTCCACAGATTAGGCAGAAGTTCTGGAAGGAGCTGTCCCTCTCAGAACTGCGGGATTTTATCTCTCGTCCAATGCAGGGGGAGTGCGTGCCGGATACACATGTCGAGAGGCCGTTCCGGGTTGCTTCCCTGTGCTGGCACCCGACGCGGCTGGTGCTAGCTGTGGGCTGGGAGACTGGAGAAGTGACGGTGTTTAACAAGCAGGACAAGGAGCAGCACCCAGTGTCCCCGACACACACGGCTGACATCACCGTGCTCAGTTGGAGCCCTAGTGGGAACTGCCTGCTGTCTGGAGACAGGGTGAGTGAACACGGGCGCGACGCCGCTTTCAGATCCTGGCCTTCTCTGAGTACGTGCTCTTCAGAGTACGAAACATCAAAATGCGGGAAATGTCTTGTAGCTAAATTCAGTTGATCTTGTCAGACGCAATTGTAGATTTTGTTTTATAATGGAAGCAAAGCTTGAAAATCTGCCACTCTGTGGCACAGGTAAGGCTGCACCTTTATAAAACTGTGCTGGGAAACTCCATTCATAAAAATTGGGTAAGCACTCAGATACTGCCACTTTTCCCTAGGCCTGTTTGTATAGCTCTGGGCTTCTTACCAGGGGACAAGGGACAGAGTCCAGACACCCTTTCTGTTGTCACAGTTTGGGAGGGGGATGCGGGTGCTGGATGCACAGTGCGCAGGACAGACCCACAGCAGAGCGACGTGGCGCAGAGCCAGCTGAATCACACTTGTGTGGCAGACTGTGACCATGTGTTTCCTTAATTAACCACAGGTAACACATTCACATGTTCCAAGATCCAAAGAGTGAAGATTGACCACGTCCTGTCTCCTCAGTCCCATGGCTGCCCTCCAGCAAACATGGCTTCTTACCATTTCTCCCATTTCTTCAGCGCACACACACATGCATTCTCTCTCTAACTTGAGATTCTGAAGTTTCTAAATTATGAGAGGAGCTGAAAGAACAGTGCAGGGACACCCATCCACCCTCCATGTCAGTTTGCCAGCCCTTCCCACTGTCAAGTCTGCCTTCTTTCTTGCTGCGTGTGCATTTTTCCTGAATATTTGAGAGTCTATTGTAGACATGATGCTTCTGCCTGCCTGCCTGCCTGCCTTCCTGCCTGCCTGCCTTCCTGCCTTCCTGCCTTCCTGCCTGCCTTCCCGCCTTCCTGCCTGCCTGCCTTCCTGCCTTCCCGCCTTCCTGCCTGCCTGCCTTCCTGCCTTCCTGCCTGCCTTCCCGCCTTCCTGCCTGCCTGCCTTCCTGCCTTCCTGCCTTCCTGCCTGCCTTCCCGCCTTCCTGCCTGCCTGCCTTCCTGCCTTCCTGCCTGCCTGCCTGCCTGCCTGCCTTCCCGCCTGCCTTCCTGCCTTCCTGCCTTCCTGCCTGCCTTCCTGCCTGCCTGCCTGCCTTCCTGCCTTCCTGCCTGCCTGCCTTCCTGCCTGCCTGCCTGCCTTCCTGCCTTTCTTCCTGCCTTCCTGCCTGCCTTCCTGCCTGCCTGCCTTTCTTCCTGCCTTCCTGCCTTCCTGCCTGCCTTCCTGCCTTCCTGCCTGCCTTCCTGCCTGCCTTCCTGCCTGCCTGCCTGCCTGCCTGCCTGCCTTCCTGCCTTCCTGCCTTCCTGCCTGCCTTCCTGCCTGCCTGCCTGCCTGCCTTCCTGCCTTCCTGCCTGCCTGCCTGCCTTTCTTCCTGCCTTCCTGCCTGCCTGCCTTTCTTCCTGCCTGCCTGCCTGCCTGCCTGCCTGCCTGCCTTCCTGCCTGCCTTCCTTCCTGCCTGCCTGCCTGCCTGCCTTCCTTCCTGCCTGCCTTCCTTCCTGCCTGCCTGCCTGCCTGCCTGCCTGCCTGCCTGCCTGCCTTCCGGCCTGCCTGCCTGCCTTCCTGCCTTCCTGCCTTCCTGCCTGCCTGCCTTCCTGCCTGCCTGCCTGCCTGCCTGCCTTCCTGCCTTTCTTCCTGCCTTCCTGCCTGCCTTCCTGCCTGCCTGCCTTTCTTCCTGCCTTCCTGCCTGCCTTCCTGCCTTCCTGCCTGCCTTCCTGCCTGCCTGCCTGCCTTCCTGCCTGCCTTCCCGCCTTCCTGCCTGCCTGCCTTCCTGCCTTCCTGCCTTCCTGCCTGCCTGCCTTCCTGCCTGCCTGCCTGCCTGCCTGCCTTCCTGCCTTCCTGCTTTCCTGCCTTCCTTCCTGCCTTCCTGCCTGCCTGCCTGCCTTCCTGCCTTCCTGCCTTCCTGCCTTCCTTCCTGCCTTCCTGCCTGCCTGCCGGCCTTTCTTCATCCTTCCTTTTTTTAATCTTTCATGAAATTGACATTTTGAGGGTATAGACTGGTTGTTTACAGGCTGTCACTCAAGTACTCAAGTTGGCTGTGTTTGATTGTCTCCTCATAATAGTTCATACATTTTTGGCAGAAATATCGCAAAGAGGACATTGTCTCCTGATTTCCTCATTCTTTTTCACATAAGTGGTGGCGTCCTGTACAGACTGTCGTGTCTCTTGCTTTTTCCATTTAATGGCGTATCTTGGTGATTCTTCTATGTGGGTAAATAGCAAACTTCCTTGTTATCTTTAAACCAGCCTCCTGCTGATTAACATTTTGGCATTTTTCAGTCTTTTGCTAATTACACAATGATGCAGTGAGTAACGTGCTTTTGCCATTTTGCACACATCGTTTAGAAAAACACCAAGAAGGGGGTGCCAGTGGGTCCCAGCGATGCCCCGTGGCTTAGCAGATGCCCACACCACTGGCCTTAGGGCCTGCACCAGCTTACACCACACAACAGCTGTCTCCTTAGAGAGCTGCATCTGAGTAGCAGAACTGCTTAGAAAAGTAGCATCTCTACCAGGCACCATCGCTCACGCCTGTAATCCCAGCACTTTGGGAAGCTGAGGCCCGTGGATCAGGAGGTCAGGAGATTGAGGCCATCCTGGCTAACTCGGTGAAAACCCATCTCTACTAAAACTTCAAAAAATTAGCTGGGGATGATGGTGCACGCCTGTAGTCCCAGCTACTTGTGGGCTGAGGCAGGAGAATTGCTTGAACCCAGGAGGTGGAGGTTGCGGTGAGCTGAGATTGTGCCACTGCACTCCAGCCTGGGCGACAGAGCGAGACTCCGTCTCAAAAAAAGAACAAAAGAAAAGTAGCATCTCAGTAGTGTTTTAATCCAGAACAGTTCCCCAGGGGGTCTAAGTGTTCCTCAGAAGTCCCTTTTATGTTTCTCTTGCTATCGAGGATAATATCATTCATAGGAGCCATTTCTGTTTCTATTTCTTATGGTATTATTTGCTGATTTTTCTATCAGGTTGTTCCCTTTTTCTGGATGAAGTTTTTCAGTTTTTCTGTTCCATTCTCACTTAATGCCATTGACCTGTCCCCGGATTTCTGCTTTGTTGGTGATCTTTCCCACCTCCCTGCCGTGGAACTGCCTGCCAGTCCCCTTTAGAGTACAGTGATTCAGGATCGTTCGTCTTTTGCATTCTCATCTGGACCGTGTTAAGAAACAAGCCAGGCATGGTGGCATGAACCTGCAGTTAAAGTGTAGTCCCAGCTACTTCAGACGCCAGGGCAGGAGGATCAATTGAGCCCAGGAGTTTGAGTCTAGCCTGGGCACCATAGCAAGACCCCATCTCTTGAAAAAAAGAAAGATCGAAACAGCTAGAAAAATAGATAATCCAGACATAAAATGAAACCCAGGTATCAGTTGATCAAGTCCTGTGAGTCTGAATATTTAAGAGCAGAACTGCCTAATCCTTCTAGGAAAATCTGAGATTATGCTGGAACTAATTTAATAATGAGTTCAAGCAGGAAGAGAAGCAATAACGAGGGAACAGCATTCTGAATGCCATGCCGCAGAGACGTCTCTTCCCCAGACATGGTGCAAGGGGCTTCCCTGCTCTTCCACCAGAGACCACGTTGTGGTTACCAGTGGAATCATCCCAGACCAGCTGGAGTTAGAAGAACACTTAAACCGAGGCCACTGGAGTGTCCCACAGTCTCACAGGAGAGCACAGCCAAGTTAGGAAGACCTGCTCCTCCTCCCTGTCCCAAGTCCAGACTCAGGGAGGGGACCCCAAAGTCTGGCTGGGGCCAAGTGCCCACAGTGCACCCATCAGCAGTAACCGGGGAGGTGGGCGACTGTGATCCCTATAAAGGATGTTCCACTAAGTGTCCCTTAGAAGTCTCACCAGGAGAGAAGAGGAGAGCATGTCGGACAGAACAGGCCACTCACGCCTTCTGGGAGCTCCTGCAGAACCGAGTGTGAGAGTCGAGTAAACCCAGACCCTGATGCGGGGCCAGCCAGCATTTAGCAAAGCTTCCCAGGGACGTGCTGCTGGAGAACCCCCAGCATAACTTGCGCTTTGATGCCTAAAGGCACCACCGAGATGAGACGAGATGCTCACGCAGCGCATGCTGCTTTCCCAATACTCCCTTAGTACATTCAACTCTGCTCTTCACAAGTAGACCTAGTTTCTCACCGTTAGGGTCTTAATATATAAAATTATACTGTGTAAAATCACTTAGAAAGAATTCACAGATGCTGGACACCCTGCACACAAAAGATTGCCTTCTGGAGTGGTGAGAGGTACAAAAAAAAGACGGAGAAGACCCAAGCCTGGACCCTGGGGAAGTCGGGGTGAGGAGCAGAGGTGAGCTGCAGAGGTGGAGGTGCCTCAGGCCCAGTTCTGCGTCTGTGCTTCCTGCTCACACTCTAGAAAGCTGGGGGTCGTGAATACTGACTCCTCGCATCCTGTGACTTCCTTTCCCATGAGTTGGTGGAAGTGGAGTTCTTGATAGGAGACACCTGTCCTCTCTCGGAACAAGGGTTTATGTTCATCCGCCTGAGCGGAGATCTCTGCTTCTGGGTGCAGGTGCTCTCAACATTTGTGTCCAGCAAGCTCTTCCCGCAGGGAAGCAGCCTGGAAACGCAGACGTCGGACTGTCTGATGGTGTTCAGAATGCTGGGGACGCGATCAGCTAGAGGCTTGTGTGTGCCAGGAAAGACCTGTAAGGTCACGGGAAAAAACAAAACTGGCTGAGGACACAGGAATGAGTACCCCTGTACCCCTGAGCATGTGGCGTGTATAAAACGCTTTGCAGACACAGGTCACCGCTTACTCAGCTCCAGGGAGGAGGCTGGGACAGGGGAAAGGAGGGTCATTTATTTTCATTTCTATCGTTAGGTGGGGCTTTTTCTCAATCTGCAAGCATTATTTTTAAAATATTTTAAAAACCACTAACACAGAGACACCAATAGTGGGGGGTTTTTTGTTTTGTTGTTGTTGTTGTTTTGAGAGAGTCTCACTCTGTCACCCAGGCTGGAGTACAGTGGTGTGATCTGGGCTCATGCAACCTCCGTTTCCCGGGTTCAAGTGATTCTCCTGCCTCGGCCTCCCAAGTAGCTGGGGTTACAGGTGTGCATCACCATGCCCAGCTAATTTTTGTATTTTTAAAAGTTAGAGACCAGGTTTCACCATGTTAGCCAGGCTGGTCTTCAACTCCTGACCTCAAGTGATCAGCTCACCTCAGCCTCCCAAAGTGCTGGGATTACAGGTGTGAGCCGCCATGCCCGGCCTTCCAGTGGTGTTTTATTCTTGTCTTCATCAAGCCATTGTAGTTGAGAATCATATGGTAATATGTACTATTCCCATGGCGTGTATTTACATGCACATGGTATCTTAGATCTTGCAAAACCTTTCTTGCATAAGTTTCTTTTAAGTCTGATGTTATTTGAAAGTCCTCTTCCTGTCCAGCATTTGGGGAGATTGGAGTCGGTGCTGCCTGAAAGGGTGGCGGGAAGAAGAGCACACTGTGGGCTAATGTGTCCCCCAGCTTTGGGCCAGGAAGAGTCCCCTGGTGTGCTTGGCATCATGCACACGGGTTCAGCTTGCGATGCTGCTCTTTGGCACCGCCAACTGCCTCCCCCAGTCACGGGCGCCGCCAGCCGTCCTCATGGAGCCGCCTTCCCCTTCCCAGAACTTTGCCCGCACTCGTCTGTGCCGTGCATTTGCCACTGTGATGATTTCAAATTGAGCCGCAGCGTGCCCAGCACCAGGTCTTTGCTTCCAACTCCATTCTCCAATGAAGCAACCAGGGCTACTTGGAGAAATGGCCGATTCCAGGACTGGAATAGAAAACTGAGCCTAGGCTAGGCTGTGGGGCTTAACCTGTACTCCTAGCGCTTTGGGAGGCAGAGGTGGGAAAATTGCTTGAGCCCTGGAGTCTGATGTCAGCCTGGGCAACATGGTGACACCACATATCTACAGAAAATGCAAAAATTAGCCAGGTGTGATGGTGAGCATCTGTATTCCCAGCTACTCGAGAGGCTGTGATTGTACCACTCCATTCCAGCCTGGGCAACACAGTGAGACCCTGTCCCAAAAAAGAGGAAAAAAATGAAAAATGAGCCTAAATAATCTTAAGGCACCAGAAAGGAAGTGCTCACCAAACCCAGGTGATGAGGGCACATCAGAGGGACACAGAGGCCAACTGGAGAGCTTAAAGCTGGTGCAGTGTGAGCAGCAGCATGCCAGCATGCATGAGGCAGCCTTGGATGGTAACCCAGAATGGGAGGTAAATACCCATGTGTCCATCCTGATACACAGGATTGCATGAGTGAGTAAATGGTGGGGAAGACGCCCAGGTGCTTTACACGGATGCTCCACCCCTGAGGGTAGAGCGTAGCTCCCACTCCTCAAGTGTGGGCTGCACAAAGTGACTTCCTTCTGAACAGTACAGGGTGGAGAGGGGGCCGGAGGAGGAGCCACTTCACAGTGGAGAGACCCCACAAGAACCACCTCCACCAGGTGGTCAAGGTCAGCACCAGCAGTGACAAGTCATGGGGATGCGGCCTGCACAGAGGGCACCTCAGCTCCGTGCTCCTCCTCCCCGCACCCTCCACCCACGGCGCCTCAGCTCTGTGCTCCTCCTCCACCCACGGCGCCTCAGCTCTGTGCTCCTCCTCCACCCACGGCGCCTCAGCTCCGTGCTCCTCCTCCACCCACGGCGCCTCAGCTCTGTGCTCCTCCTCCACCCACGGCGCCTCAGCTCTGTGCTTCTTCTCCCCGCACCCTCCACCCCAGGTAACTATGAGGAAAACCGTCGACAGTCTCAGTGAAGGGGCATCCTGGATATATGTGGCCAGCAGGGCTCAAACCATCCAGGGCCTCAAGACAAAGAGCCTGAGACAGTGTCACGGCCCATAGGAACCCAAGGAGACACAGCGGCCACATGTCACATGGTGGTCGCATTCGGGGTCCTGGGACAGAAAGGGGTATTGGGGAAGAATTGAGGAGACATGGAGGCCAGATGTCATGTGGTGTCCCAGTTGGTGTCCGGGGACGGAAAGGGGTACTGGGGAAGAACTGAGGATGTGTGACTGAAATGTGGACTTAGTTAACGGTAACGCAGCAGTGGTCACTGACGGTAAGCACTGTCTGTGCCAAGGTAAGACCTAATAACAGGGGACTGGGTGGAAGATACGGAAACTCTTCACTGTCTGTGCATTCTTTCTGCAAATGGGAGTCTACTCTAAAGTTAAAAGTTTATTTTAAAAACCTGAATATGGGCTGGGGATGCTGGCTTATACCTGTAATCCCAGAACTTTGGGAGGCCAAGGCGGGCAGATCACGAGGTTAAGAGATCGAGACCATCTTGGCCAAAATGGTGAAACCCCGTCTTTAATAAAAATACAAAAATTAGCTGGGCTTGGTGGTGTGTGCCTGTAATCCCAGCTACTCAGGAGGCTGAGGCAGGAGAATTGCTTGAACCCGGGAGGTGGAGGTTGCCGTGAGCCGAGATCGCATCACTGCACTCCAGCCTGGCAGCGGAGCAAGACTCTTGTCTCAAAAAAACAAAAAAGAAAAACGAAGAAAACCTTGAATATAGCAGTTGCTGTCTCTAGGCATGAAGATGGAGAATACTCTGTAAAAGGGTTTCTAGTTCTTTCTTTGAACACTTTGGAATTGTTTGAAATTGTCATGGTGTATATGCAGTAGTTTTGTAATTTTTTAGAAAGGAATGTGCATATATCCTGTTGCACAGTTCACCTTCTGCCTTCCGCCAGTCATTCTGTCAGGACACGTGTCCTACCATGTAATATTGGGTCTTTGCAGCTTGGTGTCTTGCTCTTGTGGAAGCTGGACCAAAGGGGCCGAGTGCAAGGGCTGCCCCTGCTGAAACACGAGTATGGGAAACACCTCACACACTGCATCTTCCGGCTCCCGCCTCCTGGCGAGTAAGTGTGGGGCTCACCTGTGACCCGTGCGTGTGTTTGCATTGGGGCAAGCGGGAAATGGGCTGCTCCTGATCTAGGAGGGGCCCCAGCGCCGAGTCACTCCAGGAGCATGGAAGAATCTTGACTTTGTGTCATGTTTGCTTTCAGGGACCTGGTTCAGTTGGCAAAGGCAGCTGTGAGCGGCGACGAGAAGGCTCTGGACATGTTTAACTGGAAGAAGAGCAGCTCTGGACGCTTGCTGAAGTTGGGGTCTCAGGAGGGGCTGTCGTTCTTTGTCAGTCTGATGGATGGTGAGGAACTGTGGTTGTGATTCTCAAGGGTCCTAGTGGTTCAGCGGCGTCTGATAGGGAAGTTGACCTCATGGATGGTGTTCTGCGTCGAACAGTGATGCTGATCGTAGCACGACGCACAGAGATGGTGTGTGCTGGGTGGAGCCACGGCAGCCGCGCTCTGCAGGCGACCGTCCGGTGTTGAAAGGTTATGATGTGTGCTGGGTGGACGCTCTGCAGGCGACTGTCCAGTGTTGAAAGGTTGCCATCACTTTGTTCTCATAGACAAGTTGAGCTTTGCTTGTGTTTGAAGGGTTTTCATGAGGAGACTTTTAATCAACTGTTACACACCGACTGCGTGGCACCGGAGACAGTTTTGGAAAGATTCTTTGGTGGCACCCCTGGTATTCAATCTATGTTATTATCAGGCACCTACTGTATGCCAGGTACTTGACTAGGGTGTGGGAATGAGGTGTGAGCAGGGCAGGGGATTTCACTGCACTTGCAGCCCCTGGCCAGCCTTCATCAGGAGGTCAGCACTGGGCACCGTGTGTCTGGTGTTCGGCCCGCTCCTCCTCACTATACGAGGGAGACAAGCTGCCCAGCCAAGCCCACAATAAATGCGATATGAAGTTAAAAGAAAAGCGCATCTCTCACAGCCACGTGCCGCCGGCCCAGGTGTGTCTGTTGCTGGTGCAGCTGAGGAGATGAGAGCTACACAGAGGTGGCCAGGTCTCCGGAGAAAGGAGGTTTTTTCTTGGTTTCACCAAGCAGCTGGATCTTGACAGGAAGAAGAAAACAGACGACAGCAGATGGAGCTGTGTGGTTGTTGTAATTTTTAAGTAAGAGAAATACTGCATTTTAGAAGGTAAAGAGGCAGAGCCAATAGAGGGGGACATTGAGAAGATCCCAGTAGGGACGTCCGAGTGGGTACAGCACTGTGAGGTGGCAAGGAGGGACGTGCCAGGTTAGGTGAATGAGAAGGGGGTGTAGGGATGAGGCCCACAAGGAAGAGACGCTTGTTGCCTAGAGGAGGCAGGTGCATGCCAGGGAGGAGGCGGCTCTGGCGGCGTGTGGCTGCAAATTTCTGGTGGTGGTCCAGGAGCTGTGGGCTTCAGGGATGAGTTCATCAATGTGCGTCATGTCCTTCTGTGGAAAATGAGGGTAACACTGGTGTCTACCCAACCACCTGTGAGGATGCTTAGAACTGAGCCTGCCACGTTCCATATGCTTATTAAATACTAGTTGGTGTCACCATTCGCCTCTAGATCGTCTTGAATTTTCTTGAATTTTTCTGTTGAATGAGAACTTGTGCTGGGTGTGGTGGTACTTGCCTGTGGTCTCAGTCACCTGGGAGTCCTGGGTGGGAGGATCACTTGAACCCAGGAGGTGAAGGCTGCAGTAGGCTATGCGCATGTCACTGTACTGCAGCCTGGCTGGCACACTGCCAGCCTGTCTCAGAAAAAGAATAATAAAAATAACAACTCATTAGCCATCGGGCAGAAGATGGGAGGGGAAGGTGAGAAGGCTCCCAGAGGAGGCTCCTGCAGCAGCAGGAATGAGCCCGAGTCTCCAAGCCTGCACAGGGGCTTCAGACAGAGTGGCTGGCCAGCATTGGAGCAGGCTCGGGCAGGGCGGGAGGAGTGGGGTTCCCACTGGTTTCAGCTGAGTCCTGTAGCTCAGACCTGGAGCAGCTTGTGGAGGTTGAGAGCCTGCCAGGAGGCAGGCGGCATAGCAGTGACACCCGGGGCAGAAGGGACAGGGAGCAGTGGCCACAGAAAGGGCTCATCATTTAGGGCCTCAGCAATGTAAAGGGCATGAGATGGACACAGAGCTCCGAGGCTGCCAGATCTGCAGGGTCAGCGGTGTGGATGTGAAATCCACCAAGACGGGGCGGAGAAGGAATCTGTAGAGACAGCTGGAGGCTGAGCTAAACCCATAAAGTGGAGGTTGCAGCCTATAATATAGGTCAGGTCACATGCTTCATTTTTAAGTACTTTTTTTTTTTGAGGCAGAGTCTCGCTCTGTCACCTAGGCTGGAGTGCAGTGGCATGATCTCAGCTCACAGCAACCTCCACCTCTTGGGTTCAAGTGATTCTCATGCCTAGGTCTCCCAAGTAGCTGGGATTACAGGTACCCACCACCACGCCCAGGTAGTTTTTCTATCTTCAGTAGATAAAGTGCTGACCAGGCTGGTCTTGAACTCCTGACCTCAGGTGAAATCACCTGATTACAGGCCTGAGCCACCACACTGGGCATATTTTTAAGTTCTTATATGGAAGATGCTTTGCTTTGAAAATGTCCTTAAGTTGATAGAAATGGCTTCTTGTGAGGGTCGTGGAAACGGATAAACAAGGGCCTCCTTATGTAGTGACCCTACCTTTGCCCCCAGGGACGGTGCACTATGTGGATGAGAATGGCAAGACCACTCAGGTGGTATCTGCAGACAGCGCAATCCACACACTGTTTTACGTGGAGAAGAGGGAGGCGCTGGTGGTGGTCACGGAGAACCTCCGGCTGTCCCTGTACATGGTGCCTCCTGAGGGCGAGGCAAAAGAAGTGATGAAGGTGAGTGGGAGCAGGCTCGGGGGCTCAGGCCTCGGGGACAGCCCTTTCTCTTGTGGATAGCCAGCCTGAAAAGCCTATCATCTGTGTTAGGGCGGCCATCATAGCCAGCCGTGTCATTACTGATCACACCACATTCAGCTCATAGGTGAAGGAAGCAAAAGAGATGGAGATTTTCCTGCATCTTTAGGTGGATGTGGGGCCTGATGGGAGACAGCCTGGGCCCACCCGCAAGCTGCACCCTTAATGACCTGGGGTGCAAGTAAGAGAAACACGCTCACTGCACAGCCCCTCATTCCACCTGCAGAACCCAGTGGGTAGGCAACCGGATCCCCAGCTTCCAGCTGGTTTATTCCACAGAAATCCATGTTCCTTGGAGGCCACTAAACTTTCCCCAAAGATGCACTTGCAGATGACAGAGCGGACTTTTCCTCAGTCAGCATTCATTCGGTCCCTTACGTATTCCATAAGGGCAGCTGAGGACACAGGCACTAGTCCCAGGGACCTGGTCATAGGGGCCACCTCAGGCCACCATAACAATCTACCACAGACTACATGACATGACAGCAGACATTTGTCACAGTTCTGGAGGCTGATGTCCCACGTCAGGCAGGCAGCAGGGGCCTCCTCTCATTGTCCTCACAGGGCGGGGAGGGAGAGTAGGCACCAGCCCTGGTGTCTCCTTCCATGGCCACAGCCTCCTCAGGCCAGGACTCACCCTCCCCATGACCTCATTAACCTTAGGTACCTCCTGAAGGGAAATACAGTCACACTGGGGGTTAGGGCTCCCACATAGGAGTTTGGGAGATGCAGTTCAGTCCATGGACCTCTGCTCAGCTCCTCACTGGCTGGTGGGCCCTAGCCAGGCCTGTTCTTTGAGGAACAGGGATGGCAGGCCTGCCCAGATTGTGTGGTTGGACTCAACAGGGAGCACCCAGCTCAACTTAGTGACCCTCCAGAGCACGTCCAGCGATGGCCACTCGCCCGCACCATGCACTTGGTAGCCATTATTCAATGTGCGAGGGTAGTGGTTTGCTTCAGCCTACACGTCTCCAAAGCCAAGGCCGCCTCTCAGAGTCTCCATCATTCGTCCCTGCGTTTTCCCTGCTTGTTGAGTCTCCATGAAGTAACTGAGCACCAGAGACTCCGGGTCCTGAAGCCGGGACAGGCAGTCTCAGCAAGCACAGTGCCCCTGCCTCCTTGTTTCCTTACACAGGTCAAGCTGAGCGGGAAGACCGGCCACCAGGCAGACATCACTTTGATTGATGGCAGCCTTCTCGTGATGGCCGTCGGGGAGACTGCCCTCAGGTGAGAGTCTGTCTTTCCAGTGCCCCTCAATGAGAATTCCCTACGGAACAGGCTCGTCTAAGGCAGCTTTATGTCGGAATGTAACAGCATATGGACTGTAAAATGCATATATAATGATGACCGCTCACACACTGGACATACCCATTCACCAGCTCCCAGACTGAGGAGCTGAGCGTTAGAGACCCCAGGAATCCCTGCCTGCCCTGCTGCGCTGCCTCTGGGCTCCCCCTACCCCCGGGGGCGCTGCCTAGGTGTCTGCCCCTGGAATCTGTTTTCTTGGTTTTTCGGAGCGTGGCGTAACTAGAGTGAGTCGTGCTGGTCTCTCCTGCTTGCTACATTAGCGCAGTGTGCTACCCGGGTGCTGTCTCATGCTCTGCATGGGGCTGGAGTGCTGTGTTCTTATGGTGACCTCATGCCATACACAAACCATCTTCTATCAGAAGCTGCTTTCTTTGATTATAAACAGGATGTAAAATGCCCTAAATGTAACATCGGTGTTCATTTTCATATCAGGAGTCTTGCGACTTGCTTTCTTTTCCCTTGTAGATTCTGGGATATAGAACGAGGAGAGAATTACATACTGAGTCCAGACGAGAAGTTTGGCTTTGAGAAAGGAGAGAATATAAACTGTGTTTGTTACTGCGAAGTCAAAGGTGAGGCTTCCTGGCCTGGCACGAGAGAAACAGAACCAGCCACAAGTCTTGTGCTCGGGCAGCAAAATAACGGTCGTGAGATTTGGAGGCTACTCCAACAATGGCAACTTGATAGCTTGCAGTCGATCAAATAGTCGGCCAAGGACAAGCAAGCTACAGCAGAGCTCTGTGATCCCACCTACAGGCCAAGGGGTTTGGTCAGAAGAATGACAACCTGGCATCCCAGCACTTCGGGATGCTGAGGAGGGAGGATCCCAGCACTTTTGGAGGCTTGAGTCCAGGAGTTTGAGACCAGCCTGAGCTACGTAGTGAGACTCTGTCTCCACAAAAAATACAAAAATTAGCCAGATGTGATGATGTACAGTTGTGGTCCCATCTACTCAGGAGGCTGAGGTGGGAGGATTGCTTGAACCTGGGAGGTTGAGGCTGCAGTTAGCTGAGATGGTGCCAGTGCACTCCAGCCTGGGTGACAGCGCATGACCCTGTCTAAAAAGAAGCATGACAAACCTATTCCATGCTCATTGATCTCTGTTCGCTCCTGAAATGCCACAGGAAAGACAGTTCAGGAAGTGTGTGTGCACATGTGTGTATGTATGCATATGCACATCCAGAGCACAGGAGCCCAGGAGGTGAGCCGGAGCTGCGTTCTTCCAGTGCCTGCTGAGTGCTGAGCACAGGGCAGCCCTGAGCCAGGTCTTATGGCCTCTGGGAAAGCTGGGAGAGCAGCATCCCCACCACCCCAGCACCAGTACTTTGAGGCCAGGGTGGGAAGGACCTGGGCAGGGCAGAAAGGCACAGCCAGGGACGAGGCGGAAAGGCAGCAGACTGGGCGAGGGCTGATGCTTTGAAGAAGGGGTCAGAGAAGAGAGCTTATTGATGTTGTTTTTCCTTTCCAATTCTGTTCACATGCGGTTTGTTTCTACCTGTAGGTCTTCTGGCCGCTGGCACTGACAGAGGACGAGTAGCCATGTGGAGAAAAGTACCAGGCCTCCTGGGCAGCCCTGGGGCAGAGGGCAGGGACAGGTGGGCCCTTCAGACCCCTACTGAGCTCCAAGGAAACATCACGCAAATCCAGGTACAGCCTGCAAGGGTGTTCAGTGCATTCACTTTCTGCTGCATGCAAGTGGAGGCCATAACTGACTTTGAACCTTTTTTTATTATTCAACTTAAGATTCTGTGCAGATAACAATAATAAGACATTTTAAAAGAGATTTAGGATTTCAGAATTGCAGTGAAGAGATTGTGGACCTGTATTAGTTAATACTGGTCTACCTACCAGCCCGTCCCTCCATCTCCGTCTCTCTCTATATATATATTAAAAAGGCTTTACAGAGATAGAACTCATAATATATACCACGTGGTTTTTGGTATATCCACAGAGTTTTACAAACATCACCGCAGCAAATTTTACAATAGTTTCATCGCCACAAAAAAATCTGTGCCTTTTAGGGGTCACCCATATTTCCCCCTCTCCAGTCCTTGGCAGCCACTAAAGTACCTCCTGCCTCTAAGGATTTGCCCGGTCTGGATGTTTCATGGAAACTGAATCACACAACACATGGACTTTGTGTCCATCTTTTAAGTCTAAATCCCTCCAGATGGCAGCCTGTGTCAGCGCTTCACTCTGCTGTGCACAGACCACGGTTAGTTTCTCCATGCATCCGTTGATGGACATTTGAATAATGCTGTTATGATCACTTGGATACAAGTTTTTGTGTGCGGATGTTTTCATCTCTTCAGCATTTGGTTCTTTCTTAGGGTTTCTCTCTGTTCCTGCTGGGACACTGGCATCGTACCCTCCTCTGCTTCGCCAGGCACGGTTTCCTTTGGTTCTTTCGGCAGATGCGTAGTGGCCACTTTGAAGTCTCTGCTGAGCCCCACGTCTGGGCCCTTTCATAGCAGTCTCTGGTGTCTGGGTTTTCCTGTATATAGTTCATGCTTTCCTATTTGCATGGCTTTTCATTTACTTTGATAGATTTGGAAGTTTCATGTAAAATTATGAAACTGACATTTCACATCAGCGAGCAAAGGCTGGATGGTTTAATCCATTGTATGAATTTCCTGTCCCTATGTCACACTCGGAAAACCTCTAGAAGATGTTCTTCCCATCAGAACAGATTTATAAGTGCTGCCCGTCCAGTCACAACTCCTGAGCATCAGTGTTTTGAAGTCTTTCTACAGAGCACACAGTAGAGCTTTATAAAGCATTTATTGAAATCATTTTCAAGTCTGAAACAATGGTGCCTGGAGAATGGTCTGGGCTCTCGTGTGTGGAAGCATTCCCCTGCTGCATCTTTCTCTTGCTCTGTTCTCACATTTGGTTCTTTCTCTTGCAACCTGGAAATGAAGTGGGGCTCCAGGAAGAACCTGCTGGCGGTGAACAGCGTCATCTCCGTAGCCATCCTCAGCGAGCAGGCCATGTCATCACACTTCCACCAGCAGGTGGCTGCCGTGCAGGTCTCCCCGAGCCTGCTGAATGTGTGCTTCCTGTCCACGGGGGCAGCACACAGCCTGCGCACCGACATGCACGTCAGCGGGGTGTTTGCCACCAAGGTGACTGCCAAGCGGACCCGGGGTTGGAGGAGGGGTCTTCAACACAGACAGAACAACTGCCCCATCGTCAGGTAGTTCAGGCCAGCAAGGGCCCCAGACGGCAGGTTAGGCACCCTCAGTTCCATCCTTAACGAGCTTATTTCCTGGACATCATATTCACAAAGAAAATAGTAATAAAAACAGGCTGGGCGTGGTGACTCACACGTCTAATCCCAGCACTTTGGGAGGCTGAGGTGGGCAGATCACTTGAGGTCAGGAGTTTGAGATCAGCCTGGCCAACATGGTGAAACTGTCTCTACTAAAAACACAAAAATTGGCCGGGCACGGGGGTGCAGCCTTCCTACTCGGGGCCGATGCATGAGAATTGCTTGAACCCGGGAGGCAGAGGTTGCAGTGAGCCAGGATTGCACCACGCACTCTAGCCTGAGCAACAAGAGCAAAATTCTGTTGGAAAAAAAAAAAGTTAATTTAAAAAGTAAATAAAGGAGAGAGAGGGATGCTTCGCCATTCCCCAAACTTAGAAAATAATCATAATAAAACCCAGGGATATTTTACTTAACTTGGAAAACAGCCTTAACCTGTGTCCAGGGAGGACCCAGTGATCTCATAGTCTTAGGGTGCTGGAGTGGCAGCGTTTGGAAGTGTTTTGAGAAGGAGGAGGCTTTGCACGTGTGCCGTGAGGGGTGTGCAGTCCGCACCTCACTTTTCCTGCCCTCTGCCTGAACGTCCATGCTTCTTTTCAGGATGCTGTCGCAGTCTGGAACGGAAGGGAGGTGGCGATATTTGAGCTTTCCGGAGCCACGATACAGAGTGCAGGTGGGTTCTTTTCAGCCCGACAGAGGCACTCCCAGTACCTGGCTTCATTTTCTCCCTGCCTAGTGAGAGGGCCACTGTGGTGCAGTCGAGGGCCGGCACAGAGGCTGGGAGACCCTCGTGCCTGTGCCTGCATTTCCAAAGCCAGGGCTGCCAGTGCATCCTGGGGCCTGCTGTGTGGGTGTGAACAACCACAGTGCTTTTGTGTGGTTCCTTCCTGGGAGGGGGTGGCTACTGCCCACCATCTTCTGAAATGTTTCCAGACCATGCACAGCAGTGAGACCTGTGGTGTCTTGACCCACGGCTAGCTTCTGTCTGAAACTTCAGGGTGGCTCTTCAGAGATGCTCCCTTCATCTCAAACACTATTCCAGGTCCCCAAGGTCTCTCCAGCTCTCTGCGGTTAGTTTAGCCACTGTGTTTTTTTGTTTGTTTTTTGAGACAGAGTCTCGCCGTGTCACCCAGGCTGGAGTGTGGTGGTGCCACGTTGGCTCACTGCAGCCTCTGCCTCCCAGGTTCAGCAATTCTCCTGCCTCACACTCCCCAGTAGCTGGGATTACAGGCGCCTACCACCATGCCCAGCTAATTTTTGTATTTTTGGTAGAAACAGTGTTTCACCATGTTGACCGGGCTGATCTCGAACTCCTGACCTCAGGTGATCTGCCTGCCTCAGCCTCCCAAAGTACTGGGATGACAGGCATGAGCCACCCCTCCTGGCCTTGGGCACCATTTTCTTCCTGCTCTCTTCAGCACATCTATGGGAGTTTCCTGGGACATCTGTAGCAATGGACCACAAACTTGGTGGCTTCAGACGGCAGAGATGTGAGAAATGTATTCTCCCACTGATCCAGAGACCAGAGGTCCACAATCAGTTTCGATGGGTAGAAGTGAAGGCATCAGCAGGGCCAGGCTTGCTCTGGAGACCCAGGGGAGACTGTTTCAGCTTCTGGTGGCTGCCAGAAGTCTTTGGCTTGTGGTCACAAAACTCCAGTCTCTGTCTCTGTGGTCACATTGCCCCGGTCTGAAGTCTGCCTCCCTCCCTCTTACAGGGACACTCGTGGCTGTATTTAGGGCCTACCTGGATAATGCAGTATAATCTCCCCATCCCAAGACCGTAACAGCTTGTGCCGTATAAAGTAATGTTCACAGGTGCTGGGGATCAGGATCTGATATCTTCAGGGAACATTTCCCAGCCTCTTGCAATGGTGCAGCCATGAGGATGTGCTCCCCAGCGCCCCGCAGTCCACAGTTCACCTTCACCCACACTGACCCCCGGCCACCTGCCCACACAGGAGGCCTCGTGTCATGCCATTCCCAGGCCGGCCGGCCCGTAGTTCGTTTGAACAGCCCCGCCTCCCCAGGCACGTCCCTCACCGGTTACTGCGTCTCCCCCAGATCTTTCCACGTGGCTTTGCTTTCTCCTCCAACACTTTAAAGTTCTCTCATGGCATTTTTCGGTCTGTCCCTGATTGTCCCAATGGTTCACATCTCCCCTCCTCGGTAGACTCCCTAGGAGCGAGGGTGAACCGACACAGCAGGTGCTGAGATTTTTCTGTTTCATGTATATCATCATCTCCCTAACTAGGTTTTTTTTGAGACGGAGTCTTGCTCCGTCACCCAGGCTGGAGTGCAGTGACATGATTGTGGCTCACTGCAGCCTCCGCCTCCCAGGCTCAAGCGATTCTCCCACCTCAGCCTCCCAAGTAACTGGGATTATAGGCATGCACCACAACACCAGGCTAATTTTTGTATTTTTAGTAGAGACGGGGTTTCACCATGTTGACCAGGATGGTCTTGATCTCTTGACCTCGTGATCCACCCACCTCAGCCTCCCAAAGTGCTGGGATTACAGGTGTGCGCCACCGCAGCTGGCCTCTAGATTCCTAGCTATTATGTGGTACAAAAGTAATTGTGGTTAATGGCAAAAACCACAATTACTTTTGCACCAACCTTAATAGTTAGAGCCAGGGACCAGGGCTTGTGGCCACCAAAATTCCACCTAAAATGAGCAGACACTTGCTTAAATGGGTGTGCTGCTGTAGATGCTGTGCTGCTGGGAGCACTGGCTGCCACATGGGAGAGGGGCAGGGCAGGGAGCCCAGAGCCGGGCACTGAGTCACCACGCCAAGCGCAGGCCCTGCACACGCTGCCACTGCTAGCCGCGGCTGTGGACAGTCCCCTGTGCCTCAGAGCCTCGTTTCCTTCACTGCGAGGTGCAGATGATGCCAGGATGCATCAGGAAGCATGTGGGAGTGCTCCTGAAACTCGGGGCGAGTCTCACCGATGAGCTGCCGCCGTCCTGACGTTCACCCTTCGTTTTAGGGACCTTCCTGTGTGAGACACCCGTGTTAGCCATGCATGAAGAAAGCGTTTATACGGTGGAGCCAAACCGAGTTCAAGTTCGAACCTGGCAGGTAAGTGGCTGCTCCACAGCAAGGAAGCTAGAGCAGAGTTTGAGATCCTGCCTCTCAGTTGAGCCGAAGCTCGCTTATTTCCCCACCCGGCGTGTGGGTCTGTCCTCCCACTACTGTTAGGAACTACCTAAGACTGGGCCATTTTTAAGGAAAAGAGGTTTTGTTGACTCACATTACTGCAGGCTGGACAGGAAGCATGGCTGGAGAGGCCTCAGAAAATTTATAGTCATGGTGGAGGTGAGGGGAAGCAGGCACGTCACGCATGGCGGGAGAAGGAAGAAAGCGAGCAGAGAAGGAAGTGCCACACACTCAACAGCCAGAGCTTGTGAGATCCCCATCACAAAACAGCACTGGGGGATGCTGCTAAGCCATTAGAAACCAGCCCCCCGATGTGATCGCCTCCCCTCAGGCCCCACCTCCCAACACTGGAGATGTCAATTCAGTGTGAGATTTGGGTGGGGACCCAGAGCCAGACCATATCCCCTTGCTAGATCGGATTTCCCATGTGAGGTGCTTCATGGTAAAAATGAAACCTGGGACAGCTGTTCAATCTGTGGCTGTCACTTCAGAAATTGGGAGACAGGGTCAGGAAGACTCCACAGAACCGAATACACAGGGTTACGGAAAGAAAAGAAGTCCTTGCTGGGCTTAACATGCACCCCGATGGCTGAGTGGCTCCAGCTCAGGACATAACATCCTTGGCTGGGCTGTCTCCTGCCTGTGTCTTGTGGGAGGACCAGGGCGACCTCTGAGAGGTTCCCTTCTGAGTGGAGTCAGGCACCCACTGCCCTGTCTGCCTCCCACACACTGCTGGAACCTGGGGCAGACACGCTGTGTTGATTTCCTGTGGCTGCTGGAACAAAGGGGCTTCCAACAGACATTTATTGTCTCACGGTTCTGGAAGACAGAAGTCTGAAATCCAGGTGCTGTCCAGGTTGGTGCCTTCTGGAGACTCTGAGGGAGCTCCTGCCCCTCGCCTCTTCCAGCATGAGGTGGTGCTGGCAGTCTTTGGTGTTCCTTGGCTTGTGCACTTGAGCTTGAACCACACGAGTCTGAACTGCAGGGGTTCAGACTGCACAGAGCGAAACCATATCCCCTCTCCTGCCTCTGCCACCCTGAGACACCACGATCAACTCCTCCTCCTGCTGTGCCTGTTCAGTGTGAGGATGAGGAGGATGAAGACCTTGATAATGATCCACTTCCACTTAAATAGTGAACATCTTTTCTCTTCCTTATGATTTTCTTAATCACATTTTCCTTTCTCTAGATGGTTTTGTTGTGAAAAAACAGTATATAATACACAGAACTTACAAAATATGTCAATCAACCGCTTATGTTATTGGTAGGTCTTCTAGCTGACAGCAGCCTGTTAGTAGTTACGTTTTGGGGAAGTCGAAAGTTATGTAAATGCTGAGCACAGTGGCTCACATCTGTAATCTGAGTACTTTGGGGAGCCAAAGGTGGGAGGACCACTTGAACCCAGAAGTGTGAGACCAGCCTGGCCCACATATTGAGACCCATCTGTTAAAGAACAAAAAACCTGACTGGGTGTGTAGTGCGAGTACCAGCTACTCAGGAGACTAAGGTGGGAGGGTTTCCTGAGCCTGGGCAGCCAAGGCTTCGGTGAGCTATGATGGTACCACTGTACTCCAGCCTGGGCAACAGAGCAAGACCTTGTCTCAAAAAAAAAAAAAGTGACGTGAGATTTTTGATTGCAAGGTGGTTGGCGCCCCTGTACCCTTGCGTTGTTAAAGGCTCGTCTGTGAATGCCTCGCTCCAGCTTCTGCCCCGTGCTCAAATGGCCTTCTTCCCTGCGTCTGTGTCTCCTCTTCTGCGTCTGGTTTTGTCTTATGTATTTGCCATTGGGTTTAGCTCTCATCCTCAGCCAGAATGATCTCATCTCAAGATCCTTCACTGCAAATACCCTTTTTCCAAATAAGTTCACATTCACACCTTTTAAATGGACATTTTTTGTTTAAGGGACAAGGTCTCACTATGTTGCCCAGCTGGACTTGAACTCCTGGCTCAAGTGATCCTCCTGCCTCAGCCCCTCAAGTATCTGGGACTACAGGTCTGAGTGGACATATCTTCGGGAGGGGCACTGTTTAGCCCACTGTGTGCAGCAAGGTTCTGTGACCAGGTTGAGAGCTTTTGCCATGACCCTGGTTTTACGTATCTTTGTGATTTTTATCCATCTCCAAGTTCCTTCCTGGAACCCAGCATCTGATTGCCTGGGGTGGTCAGGTTCCCGTCCTGGTACCTCATGTGCTGCTCATGTGCTCCCATCATGGATTGTCGTTTCTTGTTGGCATCCAGATGGGAGACAAGTCAGCGATAAGTACCAAGGAGAAGACAGAAGCGGGTCAGCCCCTCTGTGGAAGGCTTCTGTCTGAATCAGGTGGAGGGAAGAGACACGGAGGAGCCACATGGCTGCGGCGCCCTCCTGGGAGACAAGGTTCACGCAGAGGGAGCTGCTGACACCACTTGTTTCCTTACAGCCTATTGGGTCTGAGTGTGGCAGTAAAGCTGGGAGGAAGAGTTGAGAGCCTTCTGGGTATCCCGTACCCAGAGCAAGCGCACCTTTGTCACTGCCATCACTGTCCCCTCCTGTCTTTTTACATATGCCTCTCTGACTCCTCCTGCTGCATGCGGGCATCTGTTGGGGAGGTAGAACAAGGCTTGGTTTTATTTTTGTTTTGTTTTGTTTTAAGATGGAGTTTTGCTCTTTTTGCCCATGCTGGGATGCAGTGGCACAGTCTTGGCTTACTGCAACCTCCACCCCTGGAGTTGAAGCAATTCTCCTGCCTCAACCTCCCCAGTAACTCAGATTATAGGACCTCACTACCATGCCTGGCTAATTTTTTGTATTTTTGGTAGAGATGGGATTTCACCATGTTGGCCAGTCTTATCTCAAATTCCTGACCGTGGGTGATCCTCCCACCTCGGCCTCCCAAAGTGCTAGGATTACAGGCGGGAGCCACCGCGCCCGGCAAGGCTGTGTTCCTAAGGACACAGGAATGGGGGTACCGACCACTTAGTTGAAAATCCACATGTAACTGTGGGCTCCCCCAGAATGTCAGCGCTAACAGCTTACCACTGACTGGAAGCCTTCTCAGTCACACGAAGCCAATTAGCACACATTTTGTGGTTCTGTGTGTTACATGCTGGATTCTCACAGGAAAGCAGACGTCACTAAGAAGTCATGAGGAGAGAAATGCATTCAGAGCACTGTGCCGTGTCTGTCAGTCCCCGAAACCTACAGGTGGAATCATCGTTCTGAAGTGGTGGCGTCCACAGCTGCAGACCCGAATCTACTGTCCATGGCGAGCAATTCCGCTTCTTTCTGTAATGCCATGGCTTTCCCGCGCTTCTTGGGAGCATTTCCAGCGTCACTAGTGGCGTTTCACATGGGTCCCCTGGTGTTATTCAGGGTTTATACAGTATTACATGAAACACATGAAAAATCCTTTAGAATCATGAGAGATCACTTTTCACTGTGGAAGTGCATGTCACTGGAGAGAGGAGCTGCTCCTGGCCACACTTGAGCTCAGTGACAGCAGGAGGTGGCTGTGAAATGACTGCTGTAGCACAATGAGGCTACAGCTCCTTCTCTGCGGTCTGACTGACCGCATCTCTCTGTTTACACTTCTCTTGCCTGCACATGGTGCCATCTCTGGAAATGTGTGCAGATTTGTGTATACTTCATGGAAGTGGGTGATGAAATACACTAGTATCTACCTGTATTTTATGCATTTAGTACATACCTATTAATTTTTTTTGTTCTTTCTAGCCTACATGGTTTGTCTGAGTTTTCTCAAATTGTCACAAATCTCAAAAAAAAATGCTAAATATGTTTTTTGTTTTTTGTTTTTTTTTTTTTTGAGATGGAGTCTCGTTCTGTCGTCCAGGCTGGAGTGCAGTGGTGCAATCTTGGCTCACTGCAACCTCTGCCTCCCAGGCTTAAGCAGTTCTCCTGTCTCAGCCCCCCCAAGTAGCTGAGAGGGAGCACACCATCATGCCTGACTAAGTTTTAAATTTTCAGTAGAGATGGGGTTTCACCATATTGGTCAGGCTGGTCTCGAACTTCTGACCTCAGGTGATCAACCCGCCTTGGCCTCCCAAAGCGCTGGCATTATAAGCATGACCCACCACGCTCAGCCTTTTAAATATCTTTATTGAAAAAAAGTGCATATAAGTAGGGCCTTGAAAATCAGACCTATATTGTTCAAGGGTTACCTGTGTTAGCTGAGAAAAGATCTCCAGAGGTGGGACTGTGCTGGCACCAGCAGCCTGTGGGGAAATGGCCAGTGGCATGATGGGAAAGGGTGAATGGCCTGCTGGGAGAGGGCCAGTGGCATGATGGGAAAGGGTGAATGGCCTGCTGGGAGAGACCCAGTGGCATGATGCAAAAGGGTGAGTGGCCTGCTGGGAGAAACTAGTTGCTTGATGGGAAAGGATGAATTGCCTGTTAGGAGAGGCTAGTGGCATGATGGGAAAGGGTGAATGGCCTGCTGGGAGAGGGCCAGTGGCATGATGGGAAAGGGTGAATGGCCTGCTGGGAGAGACCCAGTGGTATGATGCAGAACAGTGAGTGGCCTGCTGGGAGAAACTAGTTGCTTGATGGGAAAGGATGAATTGCCTGTTAGGAGAGGCTAGTGGCATGATGGGAAAGGGTGAATGGCCTGCTGGGAGAGGGCCAGTAGCATGATGGGAAAGGGTGAATGGCCTGCTGGGAGAGGGCCAGTAGCATGATGCAAAAGGGTGAATGGCCTGCTGGGAGAGGGCCAGTAGCATGATGGGAAAGGGTGAATGGCCTGCTGGGAGAGACCCAGTGGTATGATGCAAGAGGGTGAGTGGCCTGCTGGGAGAAACTAGTTGCTTGATGGGAAAGGATGAATTGCCTGTTAGGAGAGGCTAGTGGCATGATGGGAAAGGGTGAATGGCCTGCTGGGAGAAGGCCAGTGGCATGATGGGAAACAACAGTGGGCCAACTGAGAAGTCCTACCTGTAGGGTTTGGGAAGATATCTAACAACAGCTGCCGTGGAGTTGGGTCCTTTTATTCCTCTGTTAATTTTTTTTCTCTTTCTTTTATTTTCAGAAACAGGGTCTCACTCTGTTGCCTAGGCTGCATTGCAGTGGCAGTCATAGCTCACTGCAGTCTTCACCTGCTGGGCTCAAGCAGTCCTCCCACCTCAGCCTCCTGAGTGTGGGACCACAGGTGTACACCACCATGCCTGGCTAATTTTTTTTTTTTTTCAGATGAGTTTCGCTCTTGTTGCCCAGGCTAGAGATGCAATAGCGTGATCTTGGCTCACCGCAACCTCTGCTTCCCGTGTTCAAGCGATTCTCCTGTCTCAACCTCCCAAGTAGCTGAGATTACAGGAGTGGACCACCACACCCAGCTAATTTTGTATTTTTAGTAGAGATGGGGTTTCTCCATGTTGGTCAGGCTGGTCTCAAACTTCCAACCTCAGATGATCTGCCTGCCTCGGCCTCCCAAAGTGTGGGGATTACAGGCATGAGCCACTGTGCCTGGCCACCTGGCTAATTTTTTATTTTCATATTTATTTATGAGATGGAGTCTCATTCTTTCGCTAGGCTGGAGTGTGGTGGCACTATCTCAGCTCACTGCATCCTCTGCCTCCCAGGTTCAAGTGATTCCCGTGCCTCAGCCTCCCAAGTAGCTGGGACTACAGACGCATGACATCACACCTGGCTAATATTTTGTGTTTTAGTAGAGATGGTTTCATCATGTCGACCAGGCTGGTCTCTGTCTCCTGATCTTGTGATCTGCCTGCCTCAGCTTCCCCAAAGTGCTGGGATTACAGGCGTGAGCCACCACACCCAGCCTTTTATCAATTTTTTTAGAGATGGGATCTCATCCTGTCACCCAGACTGGAGTGCAGTGCTGCCATCATAGCTCACTGCAGCCTCAAACTCCTGGGCTCAGTTCTTTCTCCTGCCGCAGCCTTGGGACCGCAGGTGCCCATCACCATGCCTGGCTAATTTTGTTATTATCATTACATTTTTGTAGACGTGGGGTCTCACTTTGTTGCCCAGGCTGGTCTTGAACTCCTGGGGTCATGTGATCCTCCTGCCTCAGCCTTCCAAATTGTTGGGATTACAGGTGTGAGCCACCATGGCTGGCCGTTAATTTATTAAGTTACAAAAGGAATACATGTCAGTTGTGACTAGTAAGGTGGTGCCGGCGTGAGTAAGGGTGGGTTGGCGATCCCTCACGGACCTTGTTGGACACCCAGCCTGTCCTTCTAGGACACTCTCCCTCCTCAGGACACAGATGCATGGCTGCTGTTAGTGTTTGTGTCAGGGATGCAGTGACTCCAGATACTCAGGAGCTTCCAGTCCTTAAAAGGACAGCCTCCCGGGCCAGAACTTCAGCTCCTTAGCCCTGTGTGTGTTTCAGGGAGTCACATCTGCCCCATGGAGGACCTGAGCAGCCTCCCACACAAATGCCAAGTGCCATACAAGTGGGTGGTGTGTGGGACCAGTGGTGGTGGGAGGTGGGAAGGGAGGCAGGAGGGCTAGTCAGCTGAACCCTCACCCTGAAGGCAGTTGGGGTTGAAGCCAGGAGTGACGGTACATTTTGTTGATCAAAAAGGAAGAGGCTGAAGCGCAAAATGTGATTTAAACAGTCTGCTTGGCCGGGCACGGTAGCTCATGATGGGAATCTATGTGATTTAAACAGTCTGCTTGGCTGGGCACGGTAGCTCATGACGGGAATCTTAGCACTTTGGGACGCCGAGGCGGGAGGATTTCTTGAGCTCAGGAGTTCCAGACCATCCTGGGCAACATAATGAGACCTCGTCTCTACAAAAAAATACAAAAAAATTAGCCTGGCATAGTGGCACACACGGATGGTCCCAGCTACTTGGGAGGCTGAGGTGGGACATTACCTGAGCCTGGGGAGGTTGAGGTTGTAGTGAGCTGTGATTATACAACTGTACTCTCCAGCCTGGGCAACAGAGTGAGACCCTGTCTCAAAAGTGAAATAAATAAGGGAGTCAGTCGTCTACTTGAGCCAGGATACACAGTTTGCCAGAAAACTCAGTATCTGAGTTTCTGCCAAGGAACATTGGGAATGGGCTCCAGTTGACCTTTGTTACAGGCGGGTTTTTAAAGGCAAAAGAGAGGGACCGGGCATGGCTGATGGCAGGTTGTGTGTTAGGAATCCTCTTCATCGATGGGGGTACCATGGATTAACGATGGGCTGAGCATTGCTGCGGGCGTCGCCCAGTGCAGCTTATTAGGTAAGTTCGTAGCTGCCTGTGGCTGCAGCAGGTGGTTTCCAGAGATGACCACGCGGCTCAGGGGAGAGCAGGGCATGGCGGCTGTCTCACTTAAGCTCTCTAGGGTCCTGATCCCTGAAAAGGACTCACCTTCCTCTGATAACAGTTCTTCTCTTTCCCTAGTTTTGACTTATTTTCTTGGCTTGGCATCATTTTCTTCCTAGAAAGTAACTTCTGTGCCAGGGTAGTGGGGAGCCTCGGGTAGGGGTGGAGAAGAGTGAAGCTGGGGGAGACACCGCAGGAGAGTACCTCCGAAGGCCTGGCCCCAGGCAGCGCACCACCTGCAGAGCTGGAGCAGAGGGGCACTGTGGGTGCCTACAGAGAGTGCAGAACCGAGGATGCTCTGGGTTTTCTAGCCTGGGAGATTGGGTTTATCATGGTGCCTTTAAGTCAGGAACTCCAGAGGCAGAGCCAGCCTAGGGGGCGGGGCAGGATGCCAGATCGAGGTGCTTTGGAGAGCCCTTAGGGGTGTCCAAGAGACAGTTGGAAATACAAGCTCTGGAGATCAGGAACTGGGTCAGTGCCCTAAAGTCAGTACTTTGAGAATTGGGAGTGTTTTGACATAAAGGTGTTAGTTGAATAACGTAAGAGAGGTAAGCGCAGACCTGAACCCAGAGCCCAGCAGGTAAGGGGTGGGCAGAGAGCAAGCGCACCTAGGAGCCTCCAGTGCCCTCTGTCATTGTTGATGGTGTCGGCCCCGGCCCCATCAGCTAGTCCACTCCATCTGCTCTCTTTATCCTGTGTTCAGGCAGCTGCTTGCTCATTCCATATGCATTTTTTAGGCTCCCACTGGATAAATGAAGTGAGCTTCCTCAGCTTGGAATACCCGCTCCCTGACTCAGTTTCCTAGACACAGTGTGCAGGCTACTGCCCCTTTGCCAGCTTCTGGAGTCTGTATTTAGATTTCCGTGCCCACTAAGTTCTCCTGGACCTCTGCCCTCCTTCCAGCCTGCCTTGCCACTGAGGCTCTGTGCAGCTCCTGGGCACTTGATCTGTGCCTTCCCTGCTGCCTGCCTTGGCCTGAAGATACCTTCAGCTGTTCGCACCAGACTCGCTGTCCCCACGTGGCCCTCCCTGGGGATGTGCCACTCACTTGTGGTGCTCCGCCCACAACGCAGTGCTGGGCAGGGTGTAGCCGTTCACTGGGCATTGGTTGAATTTAGCCAGGAGCTTTACTTTGAAACTCAGAGGGCTAAGGTTAGTCCCTAAAAGACACACCGCAAAGTGTGAGGTCTGCTCCAGCGTGACTGTGAGGCGTGCTTTCTAAAGTGCTATACAGGTCAAGGCGATGTTTTGAAAATATAAATGATATAGATCACTTCCCAGCTCAAAACCCTGCGGTCTTCCAGTTTCACTTAGAACGAAATCTAACTTTTCCCTGTGGCCTCTGCTCACCTGGTTGACCTTTTTTTTTTTTTTTTTGAGGCAGACTCTCGCTCTGTCACCCAGGCTGGAGTGCAGTGGCACAATCTTGGCTCACTACAACCTCTGCCTCCTGGGTTCAAGCAGTTCTCCTGCCTCAGCTTCCTGAGTAGCAGGGACTACAGGCCCCTGCCACCACACCCCACTAATTTTTGTATTTTTAGAAGAGACGGGGTTTCACCGTGTTAGGAGGTTGCTGATCTCCTGACCTTGTGATCCTCCTGCCCCAGCCTCCCAAAGTGCTAGGTGTGGTCCACCGCGGATGTCTTGAACATTTTACTGAAATACACACACAGAAAGAGTGGGCGTGTTGTGCCTAAGTGTACAGTGCAGGGGCTTCTCATGGGTGGGACATACCCAGGGTGTAACTAGCACCCTTCCTCTCACCAACCTCCTCACCCGGGGTAGCCACTCACATGACACAACATAAGAAGTATTCCCAAGGTTTTTACATGACGCCTCTGCAGACAGGGCCCCCCAGAGCTCCCTGGTGAGTGGGATTCACCTTCTCCCATGCCCGGTACGTTCCTGAGATCCCATTCTTTACCAACATGGCACTTACTCAGCTGAGATTACATGTATATTTGTTCGTTGACCACGCTGCTGTCTGTTTTACCCTCTAGACTGTAGGCACCAGGGCTCTCCTGAGGATAGGGCCTCCTGTTTCCCCCCAGCTCTAGAATCTGGCAGAGGGCTGGGCACACACTGAGCCTTGGTAAACGCTGACTGAATGAGTGGAGCCTACAAGGTTATCTGTGAATGATGTTCAGTGACAAATGTGTAAATTTCTTGTTTTTTCTTTTCTTCAGGGGACTGTCAAACAACTCCTCCTTTTCTCGGAGACTGAGGGGAACCCATGCTTCTTGGACATCTGTGGGAACTTCCTGGTTGTAGGGACAGACCTGGCTCACTTTAAAAGCTTTGATCTTTCCCGAAGGTAAATTTTTTTTCCCAAAAGAAGTGGAAACATTTTTTTAATCAGTCAGGAAACAGTGTGGTGGGCAGAAAGTGAGTTAGAAGCCAGAAAACTCCTTAGGTGCCCATCTCAACACCAACTTGCCCCTCAGGCTCTGGGACGCCTCACGTCAGGGCCTCCGTCCTTGGTCTTTACCTGGCAGTGGAGCAACACGGGGTGTGGGAGGCTTGAGCAGGTGAGGCACAGGGGATTTTGGGGGTGGTGAAACTTTTCCGTATCATGGGTACATGACGTCGTACGTTTGTTGGAACTCATAAAGCTTTATGGTGCAAAGTGTGAACCTTAACGTGTGCAAATTTTTAAAAATTATTCAGGCTGAGCAGAGCAGCTTACACTTGCATTGCCAGCGTTTTGGGAGGCCACAGTGAGAGGACCGTTTGAATCCAGGAGTTTGAGACCAGCCTGAACAACATAGCAAAACCTGTCTCTACAAAAAGTTTAAAAATTAGCTGGGCATGGCGACACGTACCTGTAGTCTCAGCTACTTGGGAGGCTGAGGTGGGAGGATTGCTTGAGCCTCAGAGATCGAGGCTGCAGGGACTGTGCCGCTGCACTCCAGCTGGGCCACAGAGTGAAACACTGTCTCAAAAAAAAATCACTTGGAATGTTAGTTCCATCCCCAGGATGGAACACAGAAGGTAGCAAAACCATCTCATGTGTTAGAAATGTATGAAACAGCTTCACTAAAGGGCATGGGGAGAAGTGCTGACCTGCATCACTCAGGAGGGAGTGCTGGCTCTGCTGAGCACTCGGGTCAAAGGAACTGCACAGGGGCTTGGCTCTAGTTGAGAATCCTGCTCCCTACAGGGGTTGGGATGAGCAACGCTGATCCTGTGATGCATGTGCACAGAAATGCACAGCTGAGCAAATGGAGGGTGGATGGGGGAGCCTGAGATCGCACGGTGGGGGAGCGGAAGTTACAGAAGAGCAAGGGGAGGGGCCAGAATGAGCTCCGGAGAGTAGATGAGAGGTGGAGATGACAGCATGGACAAATGCCTGGCTTCATCGAGAGGGATGACTCTGTGTACAGAATGATAGGTCTGTTTCGATGCACCCACTGGTACACACGTATTTCCTCACCCTGTCAGCTGAGAGGGCCTAGAAGCAACACCTTTGTCACAGCAGGCACACCTGGGGCCCAGACCTCGGTTTCTAACCGCGTCCTCCAATAAAGGAGCCATGGGTCCTTGGAGAAATGCTGACTCTAGTACTAGGGCAGGACATGTGCAAATGAGCTGGCAGCATCTAGTGCTGCCAGGAAGTGAGGAAGTGCTAAAAACAAAACAAAGAACCTCAGAACGATAGCAGGATGGGGGTCACAGAGACACAGAACCCTCTGAAAGAGGTCCTAGTAGCCAAAGCTGCAATCATTGGAGCAAAAAAATAAATAAAGCAGGCCAGGCACAGTGGCTCATTACATTTTTTTTTTCTGGGGGGCCCATTTCATCCTGCAAGTCCCAGCACGTTGGGAGGCCGAGACAGGTGGATTGCTTGAGCCTGGGGGTTCAAGACCAGCCTGGACAACATGGTGAAACCGGATTTCTAGAAAAAAAAAAAATACAGAAGTTAGCCAGGCATGGTGGCTTGCATCTATAGTACCAGTTACTCAGGTAGCTGAGGCAGGAGGATCACTGAGCCCAGGAGCCAAGATCACTGCCCTGCACTCCAGCCTGGGCGACTGAGCGAGACTGTCTGATACAGACGAGTAAGCAAACAGACAAAGCAGCACTGAGTTATACCGCAGAGTACAAAATAAGTACGTGTGAGTCCAAATGACATGAATGATTTAGTCAACAAATAGGGGAAAGAGACATCTCCCATAGAAGAGATCTCCACACGATTCCTGCGGCACCTCTACCCTTGGGAGTGCGGCAAGCCAGGACTCCCCACTCCCCGAGGGCAGCTGGTGCTTCGTGAGGTCCACGCAGAGAGCACAGTATAGGAACAGGCTGACTCCATACTGTAGAGGACCCGGCACAGGAAGGGGAGGACTCCACGCTGGAGAGACTGACAGGCTCCCTTGCCGGGTGACCAGGTCAGCATCAACAGTGATAATTCAGGTTGATAGCGTCTGCCCCTGACATGATCTGATGCAAAGGGCACCTCACCTCTGTGTTGTCCTCCCAGACACCTGGAGCCGCAGTCTAATGGTGAGAGGAGCACCAGGATCTGCCTGCGGTGACCGTGACCACTCCTCCTGAGAAACTCTTCTAGCTGAGAGATGCCTACACAGCCATGGCCGCTAAGTGCCGCATGGACTCCGGGATGGGTCCTGGGATAGCAAAGAGACACTAGGGAAGAACTGAGGACGTGTGAACACAACTTTTAAAGTAATAAGGAGCTACCACTCCAGACTTAGTGTTGATTGTGTCAGCCGCAAAGTAGATACAGCTAAATGTCACTGGCAGGGAGCGAGTTAAATGGCTCAGTGTGTCCCTAAGATGGGAAACGGCTGCTGGAACACAGGGCGAGGAAGCAGTCCCCACTGTGCCGTGAAAAGTCACCAAAACAGGGTGGAAGGGAAAACTCCAGGTGCAGAATGGCACACAGCAGTGTTTCTGGCACCCAGGCTGGAGCGTGGTGGCGTGATCTCAGTTCACTGCAACCTCCGCCTCCCGAGTTCAAACCTCAAGTAATCTGCCCATCTCAGCCTCCCAAAGTGCTGGGATTATAGGCGTGAGCTACCACACCTGGCCTTGAACAAGAGGAAGGGGATGAAGCACTCAGATTCATATTTGCTCCTAAGAATACCCAAAGTGGGAGCTCGAGACCAGCTTGGTCAATGTGGTGAAACCTCATCTCTGCTAAAAATGCAGACATGAGCTGGGTGTGGTGGCAGGCACCTGTAGTCCCAGCTACTTGGGACGCTGAGGCAAGAGAATCACTTGAACCCAGGAGGCAGAGGTTGCAGTGAGCCAGCATCGCACCACTGCACTCCAGCCTGGGCGACAGAGCCAGACTCCATCTCAAAAAAAAAAGAATACCCGGGGTGGGGGAACTCACCTTATGTTGTGCATTTGGCCCACCTCATGGTGCACACGTGCCACCGAGGGTAAGAAGCAGCTGAGGAGCCTCAGCACTCAGCTGGTGAACAGAGGTTTCAGGGCAGGCGGAGAATTGGGAACTGGGCCTCTGATGGACACTGAGGTCCTTCTTCCTTCCCGCAGGGAGGCAAAAGCACACTGCAGCTGCAGGAGCCTGGCGGAACTGGTCCCCGGGTCGGGCGGCATCACTTCTCTGCGGTGCAGCAGTAGCGGGAGCACGATCAGCATCCTCCCCAGCAAGGTGAGGCCGTCCCTTGTCCAGTGGTCCACTCCGCTGTCCTCCCAGGCCTGGCCTTTTGCCTCCTCATGCCTCTCTCCTCCTGCAAGGGTCTTCCTGTCCCGTGCTCTGGTCTGCCCCACTCTCCTGCATCTCCTCCCCCGGGTCTCTCCCTCTCACCTTTTCGGGGACCTCCCCGGTGTGGTCCTCGCCCAGCCTCCACTCCTCCCCCACCTGCAAGGTTCTGTCTCCTGCCTTTCTCTAAGTCTTCTTCCATCAAACAGTCATTTTCTCCTCAGAGAGCCGCTTGCTTCCTCTTCAGTCCCTGCCTTCCTCATCCCACTCGGTTCTCTTGGGCATGAAGGAGAGCCCTCAGCAGTCCTGCTCAGAGAAGCAGGGTGATGTGGGTGTGTGGGGGACTGGCAGGGGTGGCAGCACTGTTCGGAGCCAGCTGGTTCCTTCTCTTCTGCCGGAGCCCGTTCCCCTGTCGATTTGCTCGTTCGCACAACTGACTGGTCTCCTGCTGTGGGCCAGGCGCTTTGCTAGGCACTGTGGACACAGAGGTGCTCAGCTGAGCACATGGACCCTGCCCACCACCTGTGGATGAGCAGGCAGCAGTGAGGGCTCCCACAGCCACTGGAGCTGGGAAGGAGGCGCATGTGCGGAGGGTATGGAACTGTGCAGTGTTGCGCTGGGGGAGCTCGGGCCAGGCCTGCTGAGGAGATGATGGCACAGCCAAAGTTGAGGCAAGAGTGAGCAGGCAAGGACTGGTGGGGACAGCAGAGGGCAGAGGCCTGCGTTGGCAGAGCCTGGTCTCATCCAGGGTCTGCACTCATGGTGAAGAGTGGGGCGGAGGCTGATGCAGGTGGGAACTGACTTTGATCTTGGGGCAGAGGGATGAAGATAACGTCAATATCATCTTTCTAGAGGGTTGTTTCTAGAAGATGGGTCAAGCGGGCAGTGGGTGCAGATGCCTACTTGGCCTCCATGGCAGCCACTAGAGGGCTCGGGCAGCCGCAGTGGGGCTTCTCGGTGGACTGGCTGAGGGGTAGGGTAGGGTAGGGCAGGACAGGGCTGCAGATGGCATTTCTAAACCTTACAGCCAGGCGGGAAAGGAAATCTGGTGAGACATTTGCAGTGAAGGTGAATGAGCGGAGGGGCAGATGCCTGGGAGGCAGCCAGTGGGCAGGGCTGCAGGCAGAGTTCAAGGGACGGGCATGAGGATGTCCCCAAGGAGGAAAAGCAGCCAGTAGGGTCCTGAGAACCCAGATGGGCCCTGGGAAGCCAGGTGAGCAGGCGACACAGGGAGAAGGAGGCAGCCAGGAGCACGGCTCCCCTCACCCCTGCAGCAGCCCAGTGGCACCAGAGGGCCTCGCCAAGCCCAGGGACCAAGGAGCAAATGCAGCTGGGGCACAGGGCAGAAACTGTGCATTCCAGAAAAGGTCAACATGCGTTCTGAGGGGTTACCACTGGCAGGAAGACCTGAAAGAGAGGGAACGCACAAGGCCCGGGGGCACCGAAGGGGAGAGCACGGGGCTGGGAGGAGGCGGGGGCTGGAGCAAGGGGCCCACTCAATCATGGCAAAAGGAGACAGTGGAAAAGTTCAGCTGTAATAAAGGAGTGTCTGCCGGGCACGGTTATCCTATACCAGTAATCCCAGCTACTAGGGAGGCTGAAGCAGGAGGATCACTTGAGCCCAGGAGTTCAAGATCACCCTGGGCAACACAGCGAGACCTCATCTCTACAAAAAAAATTTAAAAATTAGCTGGGCATGGTGGCACATGCCTGTAGTCCCACCTACTTGGGAGGCTGAGGTGAGAGGATCTCTTGAGCCCAGGAAGTCAAGGCTGCCGTGAGCTGTGATCTCACCACTGCACTCCAGCCTGGGTGACAGAGTGAGACCCTGTCTCAAAAAAAAGAAAAGGAAATTCATTTTTACTCACCTGTGTGAAAATCAGTTTATCAGAATCCGGACTCCTTCTGGTTCCCTTGGTTAACCTACTTCAGGTTACTGTTGAGAGCAGCTGGACACAATTTCTTAGAATTTGTTTTCAGTTCTCTGAAAGTATGAAGTCGTGATTCAGAACCTGTTTCAGTAGGACAAAAGGAGGTTAATGTTCAAATCGTGAATGCTGGGCTGGGCACACTGGCTCAGGCCTGTGATCCTCGGGGAGGCCGAGGTGGGCAGATTGCGTGAGTCCAGAAGTTGAAGACCAGCCTGGACAACATGGTAAAACCTTGTCTCTACCAAAAAATAAAGTTAGAAATTAGTGGAGCATGATGACATGTGCCTTTAATCCCTGCTACTCAGGAGACTGATGTGGGAGGATCACCTGAGCCCAGGAGGCAGAGGCTACAGTGAGCCAAGATCATACCACTCCATCCTGAGCAACAGAGCGAGACCCTGGCTCAAAAAACACCAAAACCAACAAATTGTGAACGTGGAAAGTGTGCTAGTTTCTCTTGGCGTGAGCCATGTCGGCCACCTAGCCCAGCTCACAAACCTGCCGGTCCAGGCAGGCGCCATGAGCTTTCTGGTTTTCTCTTCTAGGCCGACAACAGCCCCAGTTCCAAAATCTGCTTCTACGACGTTGAAATGGACGCAGTGACAATCTTCGACTTCAAGACTGGACAGATTGATCACAGAGAGACGCCGTCCTCTCATGAGCAAGAGACTAATAAGTAAGATTGTGGTTCAGGAGGATTTTGTGGGAAAACAATACTGAAAAGGGTTTTCAGTTACTTCTCAGCTTCTTGCCACGTCGTTGCTAAGTTACGTGCCAGACTTCAAAAGGCCCCAGCAGGCCCCACTAGGAAACGTAAAGAGGAAAGCAGAAGCGCACTCAGGCAGTGGGGAGATGTGAGTCCGTAGTCTCCGTCCTCCAGGTGGAAGGTCCGGCATTTAGCTGAGTGGAAACTTGAGCTTCTGGAAGGGTTCTAGCCGGGAATCTGTGGAAGTGGCCCATGAGCCACAGCTGGGAGAGGAATGCAGTGGACTCACCCCTGTCAGCGTCTCGGGTGGTAGGGAGAGTATTCGTCTCTTTGAAGAAAGTGCTTCCAGGTAGAATAATTGTCTGTCTTCACCGTATCTGTAGTTCCTTCTGCGAGTGAGTGCACGTTTGTAGAACTTTGAGTGCTGATGATATCCCACTCACAGTTCATGCTGGATGCTGCACAAAGTGAGGCACATAAACGAAGTGCACCCGCAGGGGCCGTGGAGCTGAGCCCGCCCGGTGGTCGCGGGGCATTAGCAACTGATGCCCCGCGTGGTCGTGTCCGTAGCCCAGGCCAGTGGGGCAGGAAAGTGGGACAGGTGCCTTGGGCCTGCACGGAGCTCACAGAGGAGCAGAGGGTTTGCAAGGCCGGGCTTGGTGCTGGTTTTTTCTATTTTTTTTTTCCTGCTCCTCTACTTGAGCACCGTCAGGCCCCTCCTTCCAGACACACCCTTTCTGTCCAGCCCCTGCCTCTTTCTCCTGCACACCTTCCTCCTCAGCTCCAATTCTGGAACCTTCTTTCACCTGGTGGCCCACCTCTTCCTTCTACCAGTGACTCCCTGTGGAACTCTCTGTCTTCACTGCTCACCGAATGCAGGCCCCATTCTCCTGCCTCAGTCAGTGACGCCTGACTCCACCAAGTGCCAGCTCTCACCCCTGCTGCCACTGTTCTTGGCCGCTCAGGTTTAAACCTTAGAACGAACCTTTCCTCTCATCCCCGCTGCCCGTAACCCAGGTCCACAGCTTGTCTTATGTTGAAATGTCTTTTCATTCATGCTATTCCCTCTCAACTCTGTGCCTGCCATTCATGGCTTCCCCCAGGAGCCGTGGCAGCCTCTGAGTTCCTTTTCACATTCGAATGTTGCCCCCTCCTTTCTGTCTGTTCTCCTCCGAGCCAGGCCCATCTTGCCTCACAGGAACCAGCTTGTGTCCCCGGACTCTGTGGGCCTCAGAGCCGACCTGTCTGGAACACAGCACTCGCCTTTCTGCCCTGCTTTCTGCTCTGTGCTGGCACTGGACGTGGCTATGGGGGCACCTCCAGTGTTGGGCGTGGCAGCTTCCTGAGGGATCTTTATGCTCTGCAGCACCGGGTCCTGTCCTTCTGTGCAGCCGCGATGGGTCGTGCTGCCCAGCAGGGTCCCACTCTGCAGCCTGGGTTCGTGACATGCTGGGGGCAATGGATGAGGCTCACAGGCCTTCTCACCTTGGGCATCTGCTCTCTCTTGAGACCTTGAGTGTCCCCTGCCCGCACGTCATTGGGTCTCCCCACTTCATCAGGTCTCCCCGCACTTCATCAGGTCTCCCCGCGTCATCGGGTCTCCCGGCGTCATCGGGTCTCCCCGCACGTCATCAGGTCTCCCCGCGTCATCGGGTCTCCCCGCACGTCATCAGGTCTCCCCGCGTCATCGGGTCTCCCCGCGTTATCGGGTCTCCCCGCACATCATCGGGTCTCCCCACACGTCATCAGGTCTCCCCGCGTCATCGGGTCTCCCCGCGTTATCGGGTCTCCCCGCACATCATCGGGTCTCCCCACACGTCATCGGGTCTCCCCGCGCGTCATCGGGTCTCCCCGCGCGTCATCGGGTCTCCCCGCACATCATCGGGTCTCCCTGCGTCATCGGGTCTCCCCGCGCGTCATCGGGTCTCCCAGCGCGTCATCGGGTCTCCCCGCGTCATCGGGTCTCCCCGCGCGTCATCGGGTCTCCCCGCACGTCATCGGGTCTCCCCGCGTCATCGGGTCTCCCCGCGCGTCATCGGGTCTCCCCGCGTCATCGGGTCTCCCCGCGCGTCATCGGGTCTCCCAGCGCGTCATCGGGTCTCCCCGCGTCATCGGGTCTCCCCGCGCGTCATCGGGTCTCCCCGCACATCATCGGGTCTCCCTGCGTCATCGGGTCTCCCCGCGTCATCGGGTCTCCCCACACGTCATCGGGTCTCCCCGCGTCATCGGGTCTCCCCGCGCGTCATCGGGTCTCCCCGCGTCATCGGGTCTCCCCGCGCGTCATCGGGTCTCCCCGCGTCATCGGGTCTCCCCGCGTCATCGGGTCTCCCCGCGCGTCATCGGGTCTCCCCGCGTCATCGGGTCTCCCCGCACGTCATCGGGTCTCCCCGCGTCATCGGGTCTCCCCACACGTCATCGGGTCTCCCCGCGTCATCGGGTCTCCCCGCGTCATCGGGTCTCCCCGCGCGTCATCGGGTCTCCCCGCGTCATCGGGTCTCCCCGCGCGTCATCGGGTCTCCCCACGTCATCGGGTCTCCCCGCGTCATCGGGTCTCCCCGCGTCATCGGGTCTCCCCGCGCGTCATCGGGTCTCCCCGCGTCATCGGGTCTCCCCGCGCGTCATCGGGTCTCCCCGCGTCATCGGGTCTCCCCGCGCGTCATCGGGTCTCCCTGCGTCATCGGGTCTCCCCGCACATCATCGGGTCTCCCCGCGTCATCGGGTCTCCCCGGATCTCCCAGCGCATCATCGGGTCTCCCCGCACGTCATCGGGTCTCCCCACGTCATTGGGTCTCCCCACAGCATTTTGTTGAGTTCTGGGCCAATCAACCATGGAACTTTAGAGATGGGAGATACCTGGGTACGAGGGGCAGCACTGCACGGGAACCCATGGGGGATGAGGACCCCCGCATGACCATGGAGCCAAAGTCATGACCCCCCCCAGAAGGGGGTGCTGTCCCACCTTGAGTTTGGCCTGCTGGTCCTGGAGAAAGGAAGAGTCCCTTTTGCTTTGGGGATTCTTCTGGGCCTTCCATAAGGCCTCCAGAGTCAAAGCGTCCTATTTCTGTGGTCCTTTCAAGCCAGGCTTTGTATAAATCTGAGAGCATGTTCCAGCAGGGCTCATGGCCATAAGGTCCCCAAGGTTCTCCCCAAGCTGAGTGTATGGACCCTGCGGCCTGGGCAGTACCTGGAGGCCTTGGGAATGTGTGTGGGAGGGAGGCTGGTAGCAGGAGTGCCCTGCTTGGGGGTTGAGACAGGTCTTCCCTTGTCTTTTAGGAGCTACCTTTTTGCAGATGAGGGGCTGAAAAATTATGTCCCTCTGAACCACTTCTGGGACCAGAGCGAACCCCAGCTGTTTGTCTGCGAAGCCGTGCAGGAGGTGCCGGGCTCCCAGCCACAGTTTGCAGACGGGCAACCGCACGACGGGAACGCCAGCCCCAGGGTATGCTCCGCTGTCCTGTTTGTGTCCAGACTGCACATCTCCGTAGGCTGGGCACAGTGGCTCACGCCTGTGACCCCAGCACTGCAAGAGGCCAAAGCAGGAGGGAGTGCTTGAGCCCAGGGGTTCCAGACCAGCCTGGGCAACATGTTGAGACCCACCATCTCTAAGAGAAAAGAAGAGTTCATAGAAACGGTCTTCCTAGCCTGGGGTCTGGGAATGGGGTCCTGAAAATTCATTCACATGGAGTAGAGCATCTGCCTCATGGCTCCCACTGATGGGAGCGCCGCTGTAAGCTCAGCGCCGCCTCCGCGGATTTAGCAACGCTAAGGCTGTCTTGAGCTGTGCAGCAAAGCCAGGGTGTGTGGTGTATCCTCTCTGAGGTTTGTGCCCAGGGGCAAGCTCCGCACTGACCGTCTGGTCTGACCTGAATGCCCTTTGTTGGGTCTCCTGTCTCAGCTGCTGCGTGTGTGTCTCTCCAGGACAGGAGTCTTTCGCTTGTTTGTTTTGTTTTAGTTTTTAAAATGGAGTCATTTGTTTTGTCTTGCCCTGTCGCCCAGGCTGGAGGATGGTGGCACAAAGTCGGCTCACTGCAACCTCCGCCTCCCAGGTTCAAGCAATTCTCCTGCCTCAGCCTCCTGAGTAGCTGAGACTACAGGCACCCGCCACCACACCCAGCTAATTTTTTGTATTTTTAGTAGAGATGGGGTTTCCCCATGTCGGCCAAGCTGGTCTCGAACTCCTGACCTCGTGATCCCCCCACCTTAGCCTCCTAACGTGCTGGGATAACAGGCGTGAGTCATCACTCCCGGCCTGCCGCTGTTGATTTTTAAATCAGAGTGGAGAAGCTGAATGGGGAGAACTTTGAAACCATGAAAGCTCTTCTGAGTTGCAGTCACCAGTTCAGGGTGGGAATGGTGAGCCTTTGCTGCAAAAAAATCAGTCACTCGGGAGGCTCCAGTGGCCACAGACTAGACGAGGCGCCTCCTTCTAGGACACATGGCCGATTTCCAGAGTGGAACGGATCAAAGCAGAGCGCCCAGCTGCACCATGACGCAGTATATGCATGCAGCGAAATGCACTTGGACCCCAGATACTTACGTAAGCCTAAAAAGCAGAACAGGATTGTTCTTTCTCTCCCAGGCAGATGTTTTGATTCTGTCCTTCTTCATTTCTGAAGAGCACGGCTTCCTGCTTCATGAGAGCTTCCCGCGGCCTTCCGCCTACCACAGTCTTCTGGGGATGGAAGTGCCCTACTACTACTTCACAAGAAAGGTAGGAGACCAGGAGATCTGCGCAGGTATTTCTCATCTCTCCCCTTGCTTGGCTGGGCTCTTGCAACCGTCCCAGGAGCTGAAACATGAGTTGGCCCTCGAGGCCCTTCTGGGCTTCCTTCTCAGTAGCCAGGGTCAGCCCTCCGGTCCAACTTTCACCCGAAATGCCAGCAAACACTGCAGTCTGTCTGGGGAATACCAGAGTGACTTTGCTCTGAGGATAGAGAGAAGCCGCTCTGATGAGTGACGTCGCCAGGTGAAGGAGTTCTCTGTCAGAGCTCAGGACTCTGCACCCTTCCCCTCGGCTTTTCCCCAAATGCCCAGCACCTTGTAGCTTTCTGTCTTTCTAAAATTCTAGCTGCTTTCTTAAAATCACACATTTCTGTATTCGCTGTAGGGAACTTGGTGACTACCAAGAATGAAATAAAGACCCCAACAGTACACATCTTCATAATCCCAGCCCAGAGGCACTCACTGCGGGCAGGCTGGGGGCTCCTTTCAGTGGGCTTCTGGACACCTGTTTGTGTGTGCGACTCATATGCGTGGACTTACCTGTAAATCATTGAGAGAATGGGATCATGACAGCACACACCTAGTGGTCCATTTTGAACGAGTTATTTCCTTCTCTGCCACTTAGTCTCCATATCTCCAAGGCCCTTTTGGACCTGAAACAAAGTTGTTCTCTGCTTCTGAAAGAGCTGAGCAAAGGATCTGCAGCTTCTCTGCAGAACAGCAGCCTGTATGTGCCCCACGAACATTCTGAAACCCGGCGGAGTGCCTGGCTCCGAGTGAGTTGCTCCCCTCGCTTAATCCACCTCTTGTTCTAATCAGCGTCTGGGAGCATCCTGAGTCACACTGGGGCTTGTTCAGAGAGGAGCCTGGCTGACGTAAGGCTCAGACTCGTCCCAGCTGGCGCTGGCCAGTGAACCCCACAGGAGTTCTGCAGGCAGGAGACTGGGAGCCACCAGCTTCCACCTTTCAGAACCTAGGATGCCACCAGCTGCTGCTGCTTTTATTTCCATGAAACATGGAAGCGTCTCTTGTATTAGATACACACCTTCAGCAAACACATGCAGAACCTTCCCTGCCACTTCCTGTTCACTGTCACGTCAGAGGGAGGATTAACCATGTAGACTGACCTGGATTGCTTTTGGATTTTCACATACGGTGGCTTATCAGCCTTAAGAATGAACTCTGGGCCGGGCGCGGTGGCTCACACCTGTGATCCCAGCACTTTGGGAGGCCGTGGTGGGCAGATCACCTGAGGTTGGGAATTCGAGACCAGCCTGACATAGAGAAACCTCATTCTACTAAAAATACAAAATTAGCTGGGCATGGTGGCACATGCCTGTAATCCCAGCTACTCAGGAGGCTGAGGCAGGAGAATCACTTGAACCCAGTAGGTGAAGTTGCAGTGAGTCAAGATCGCACCACTGCACTCCAGCCTGGGCGACAAGAGCCAAACTCCATCTCAAAAAAAAAAAAAGAATGAACTCTGTACTATTCTAAATTTCTTCAATGAGCATGTGTTAATTTTATAACCCAGGGTGGGTCAAGACAGCATTTAAACTGGGGCAGAGGGGGCACAGGCCCCATAGGGACATTGGAGAAAAGGCAGGACAGGCAGCCCGGCATGGCTGTGGAAGCTAACGCGGGACCTGACTGTGCCAGCCGCCGCCACGGTGGGCAGCAGGCGCACCGGCTCCATGCAGACCCCTGCGCTGGCATTCACCTTCATAGGATCTGGCATAAAGGACACGGTGGGGCGGGGGGGTCACTGCCTAACTTGCGACAGTGACATGACCAGGTGTTTGCTGGTCTCTGGTCCTCGGGCTCTGCTGGAACCTCGTGTGCGGTGATTGATTAACGGCATTCACACAAGTGCAAACCTGCGTGCGGCTGGCGGCCGTGTTCCTGGTCACCACATAGCGGCAGGCTGCACAGCCAGCAGAGGCCAGTGTGGTGCTGGTTTGTGCGTCACGCTGTTCCCTGCCGTGGAGGCGGTCTAGCTTCACGAAGAACGGGAACGCGCCACGTGATTCGCCAGATAGAGGGTCCCTGCTCTGTCGATCGATGCGCATCTCTTTAATTCCCGAATTGTAGTAGGCGAGTGTCACCAGGCCGGCGTTTCTCTGCATTCCATGCTCGCCTTACGTTTCTTACATGCTCTGATTTCTCTTTGATTGCAGGACTCAGAGCGTTAATGTTTTACATTATTTCCGTTGAGTTCTTTCCCGTAATTTTCACGGTGGCATTTGTGTCTTGCATGCTCACGTGTCTGTTCTCTCGTTTCTCACCTTCCCGCATGCGTTCCGCTCCTCGTAGTTGTTGTTCCAGAGAGCAGGCGTGTATGACGCAGTTGTAAGTACAGACGCCCAGGTCACGTGTCGTTTTCCTGAGATCCTTTCCTTCCCTTATTTTCAGTACAATTGTCTGTGCTTCAGCCCTTTCAGCTTAGCTTGTGTGTTCACTTGGCTGAGGTCTATTGGGAGCTTCAGATGCTCAGCGTCAGCTCTCTATCTGAGCAGGACGCCCCTCATCTAGCAAAGCTCCCCAGGAGCCCGCCAGCCGTGGTCGTAGCTGGGATGTGTGACACAGCAGCTCTTTCCTCTGCTGTGTGGGACATAGGAAGTACTTAGCTTACCTACATTTGCAATAGAGGGAGTTTTCATAACTCAGCCTTTCAAGTCTAGTGAGGAGCAGCCACAACGTCTTTTGTCTGTAAACACTGCCCTTATTCAGATGCTCTCCCTGTGTTCAAATGGCTCTGCCTGGTTTCTCCAAGGTTTCAGGGTAGAGCTGAGTCCAGCCTTAGGACCCTGCCCCTAACCTGACCCTACACCATGTGACCAGTCAGCTGTGATGTGGGATGGGCAGCCCCTGCCTCACAGGGCTGTGATCAGGACATGGTGAATGCTGAGAATTCCCATTTACATGGAGAACTGGGTTCCCATTCATCCACACCAAGCTGACATTGTTATCAGAGGTCAGGCCGCTTCCTTGCAGTTAAACCATAGCAGGCAAGAATTCCCTGTCTGTGTGTGTGTTTTCTGACAGTTCCCACTCAGTGTAGAAGTAGTCCGAACTCTGCAGCACTCAGCACCCCACTGGTGGGCCCTGTGATGTCCATCCTGAGGCCCTCCGGTGCCTCTCCGTGGTGCCTCGGGGCCTTTGCTTATGCTCTGCACTGTGTCAGGAAGGGCCTCCCTATCACAACTGGGGCTGACAAATCACCCAGTTTTCTTTGAGACCAAGGCCAAGTGCTGCCTTGCCCATGAGGCCTACTCAGTGGGGCCGCAGGTCAGCTTCTGTGGGAGCAGTGAGCTGACGGGGGGAGCTGGGGAGGCAGGTGGCTGGAGTCACCCTTCAGGAAGTCACAGAATGGCAGCAGTTACAGGACCAGGGAAGCCTGACCCTATAGGGCTGCGTCACGATCCCTTTCACACAGGGAGTGCGTGTGCTGTCGGATAAATGGGACCTGCAGAGAGAAAGACCCAGAGAATGTGGAGAGCTGCTCCCCGCTGGAGGAAGGGACCCAGGATGAAAGAGGATGCCAGTAGTGGGAGGGGCCTGTGGAGGGGCAGTGATCCCTTGGGAGCCCCGATTTCCAGAAACTGGGGAGAAGATGCTCAAGTGAGGTCGTGGCCTGGCATGCCATAGCAGTGTGCTCCCGTGCTGGGCTGCAGCCGCACCCTCCCTGTTTCATGTGGGGCCACGCTGCCCAGGCTGAGACACACCCATAGCAGTGTGCTCCCGTGCTGGACCTGCAGCCGCACCCTCCCTGTTTCATGTGGGGCCGCGCTGTCCAGGCTGAGACACACCCATAGAGGGCACACAACCAGTCCAGGTGCTTGTTCTGGAAAATTCTACCTGAAATCATGCCGCTGTTACTGTATTTTAAGAGAGCTTAAAAAACAAGTTCATGCATGGACAGCCTTTGCTTACCCATTATCTGAAACCAGAGCCAAAAGCTGTGAGCATTTCCAGTGACCCTAAAAGTTTTCAGTGCATCTGGCAGGGACTTGGCTAGATATCTCTGTCTGTCTGCGGAGGGATTTCCCCCCATAATGGAGATAAATCTAAAGGAAGCGACCTGGGTGAGGGCTTCAGCTCTACATATGAATTAACGAACACATGGGTCCTTTGTCATTTAGCCTGAAGAATCGGACAGAGAAGACAAGGTAGAGTCTGGGTGCCACCACATTCCTCAGATGGTCGCCAGGAGACCCCTGCGAGACTTCGTGGGGCTGGAGGACTGTGACAAGGCCACACGGGACGCCATGCTCCACTTCAGCTTCTTCGTCACCATTGGAGACATGGATGAAGCCTTCAAATCCATCAAACTCATCAGAAGGTGAGGATGCCATCCGCTGGCGTGTCGGGAGATGGTGCCCGCTCACAGGCTCTTTCCTTTCTCTGTGTCTTCCTTCTCCGTCTGCTTGTTGAAATAGTTAACTCCTTGTGACTGTGTCATGGTATGTTTCATGGTCTTCCCACTCAGTGAAATGCTGCCAAGCTTTGTGGGTGCCAGGACCTGCCTGGTGCATGGTGCCGCGTGGGAAGCTCTTGGCCTTGGTGGCACTGGGCGCCTCTCGGGCTGTTTAGGTATTATGATTAATTTCAAAGTGTTCCGTGTACACCCTCATGGAAAGTTCCGCCGTTGCTAAACATGCATAATACGCATCCCTCCGGGAGTAACTGCTGCCAAACAGAAGTTTGGACGAGCAAACACTAAAAGCAGCAAGGTGAAGACGATTAAAACTGCTCTCGAAGAGGCTGTCAGTCAAAGGCAGTCTTCAAGCACCTTCTTCTCCATTCCTGAGAGAATGCAGAGAGTCTTCACAAGAGCATTTTATAGATTTTAATTTCCCAAGGGTCGAAACTGATTGAAGAATGAAACTAAGGAGGGAAAAAGGAGGTGTGGCCTTAGGTGGCCTGGAGCAAGCCCTCCCTCTCCATGCAGTGATGACGCCTGTCATAGGGGTGTCCGAGAGTGTGCAGGACCCTGGCCCACTGTCCTTCTAAGGTGGCATGGCCAATTCTTCATTCCCTGGGCGGGGCCTTCCGCACTGGCTGTGCAGGTGAGCCCTTACCTGTTTGCACGTGCACCAGAGAGGCCAAGCGGAATTGCTGCATTCTCCTTGATTGCTTCAACTTAACAGGTAGTCACAGACCATGCTTGACCCTATGGCCAGTTTAAACCTTCAGTGTGGGCAGGGGCGGTGGCTCATGCTTGCAATCCCAGCACTTTGGGGGACCGAGGTGGACAGATCTGAGGTCAGGAGTTCAAGATCAGCCTGACCAACATGGAGAAACCCGGTCTCTACTGAAAATACAAAAAATTAGCCGGGCTTGGTGGCACACGCCTGTAATCCCAGCTGCTCGGGAGGCTGAGGCCAGAGAATCGCTTGAACCCGGGAGGCGGAGGTTGCAGTGAGCCGAGATCGCGCCACAATACTCCAGCCTGGGCGACAGCGAGACTCCGTCTAAAACAGAAACAATCATTTTCAGCATATGATTAGAAATAAAAATTCCTTGTCAGAAAAAAGTCAAGCGGGGAGAGGTAAAGCCAGCTCTCTGTGCCAGTGTGTGCTGTGGACGTGAATCTGCTGTTTCTACACTGTGTGCTGAGTGCGTCGCCGACGGTCAGTTCATAAATGCTCTTTAGTCTTTATCAATTGAAGAAAAATTCCTGGTACAATATGGTCCTCAAAATCCGAACTGATCCCCTCAGCTTGCTGGAAGGCCAAAAGCAGCAAAGCTAAACGTTTCTATTAGCAGGGGTTGGCATGGTGGCCTGGCCCTGGCTGTGCACATCCTGTCAGTTTCTCCTTCCAGCTGATGTCAGCAGTGAGCTCTGCCTTCAGGTGGCCATGGGGCCGAGCAGTGCCTCACCCAGGCAGAGGAGGCACCAGGCCAGGCGCCAGGACCGTGGTTGCAGCCCTGGTTCTGGTGCGGCCAGGCAGCTCTGGGTTCTGGCTTCTGGGTTCTGGGGGGTATAGGGCAGTTTTGACCCCCGAGATGCAGATGTTAGATGTTTTCTGCCAACTCAAGGAGTTGTTCCCTCTTAACAGATTTAGTACATGGGGTTGTTTGATCCCTGTGCAGCATCATGCAGGCATTTCATAGCCCGCCAAGCGTTTGGCTACAGGTAGGCTGAGGGTTTCTAAGCAAACAGCTTTTCCCTTTTATTCTACGAGTTGTTGGTCAGTCTGTAGGGACTTGGGCTTCTGAGACTCGGTTGAACAGAGTGTGGGTCAGGGTGTGTGTGCCTACAGGGACTGTGAAGATGTCATTTCAACTCCTCTCTTAATGCCAGCCCCCAACAAACTCACAGAACAATTGAGGTGTTTTTCCCCCATGTTGCCGTGTAGATGGACAGAACACAGTCACGGGCAGAGTTAAGAGGCGTGCATTTATTTACCTTAGGAAAGAGACTGAGCGCAACAGGCAGGAGCATGACTGTGTCTGAAACCGTCACTATCCGGCTAGTTTCTGACTCACTCAAGCACTACTGTGGCCATTCAGGAACACCTTCCTGCTTGTTCTGCTTTCCAAGTGTAAGACACGGCTGGGCGCCCCTCTCAGCGGATGCAGAATAAATTAATCTCGAAGCAGAGCGGAGGGCAGGGCGGCCTCACGCCACCTTCCCTGTGTCCCAGCTTCCAGGCCACCCTGAAGCGCATGTGGCTGCCGAGCCAGGGAAGCTGGAGGCAGAACGAGGGTGGCTCGTGGCACATACAGACACGATGGACATAGCGGTATACGCACAGCCGTCTCGCACGCATGGCACAGAGGTCACCCAGACTCATCCCGTGCCTCTGCACAAGCAGGGGAAGTGACTTGGTGGTGGAGTCCGTTGGCTTCTAGGCAGATGCACGTCTGTGATGTCCTGAGCAGGGCGACTCAGCAGGGCGACTCCACGTAGTCATTGTCCAGCCCGCGGCGAAAGCGCGCCGTCAGGGAGCGGCTGATGACAATCACCCGGGGCGCCATGCAGTCCTCCCTCTTGTGGAGAATGTTCCAGATGAGCATGGCCGCCGCCAGCGTAGCCAGAAGGCAGGCACCAATGTTCATGTAGCAGGACCAGGACAGGTTGGTGTATGGGCCAATTCTGTAGAAAGTCACCAGCCCAATGACCAGGACGAAACCTGCAGATGAGAGAGAATGTTGAGAGGCCTTAGCAGAGATGAAGCCAGGTTCCCTTCTTTCCCCAGCCCTCTGTCCTGGAGAGGGGGAAAGTCAACAGTCAGCGGTGTTGCGCCCCCTTGTGTTGACCCTTCTGTGGGCTCCTCGGACTTTGGGCTCTGGCAGCTGTGGAGGGGAGCTGTGTGTCTGCTTCATTCTGTCCTCGAGCGCTGCTCCTGTGACCTGGCCAGGCCTCAGGCCTTTCCTTCAGGTCAGCATTGACGCTTGCAATGCCAACTTGGGGGGGCCTTTCCTAGCCCCGCTAACTCAGCAGTAATTTTGTGTTAAATCTATCTCTGACTTTTGTAAACGCTTAATTCATTCAAAGTGAAAGTAAACAGATATTTTCTAAGTCCCATCTGGAAACAGGTCGTTTTGGTGCTAGCCGCGCCCACAGCTATGCTCCTGACAGTCCCCTTGCCTTCGCCTTTACTCTGGGAACTTGAGATTAGGTGGAGTCCACAGCTTGAGCAGGGCGGAGACGGGGCCCTGTCTAGTGCTCCTTGGCCATAGCTGGTGTCTTCCCCTACTTCTGAGTCAGTGCTTCTCGTTGCGGACCCTCCCTCTTGCCCAGCTTATTTATATTCCTTCCATGCCTTCCCCTCTCCGTGCAGAGAAGGAACGGTGAGCCGTGAGCTCACTCGAGTTGGAGCAGCTGGTTCCTGTCTGGTTAGTAGCTGATACCACAGTCTGACTTGTATGCTTTTATCTTTAAGGAGCTCCAAAGCCGTGTTCAGTTCTTACAGCAGGAGAATCAGGGTTTCAGGCCTAGAATCTGCCAGCCAGGATAACTGAATACTGTGGCTGGGTAGAGAAGGCAGCACCGAGGGAATCGGGGTCCCGACCTGGCTGGAAACGTAGGCTCGGGGGCAGAGGAGAGGCCGCCACTGTCCTGCTGCCCAGGAGGCTGTCCACATGGCACTGCCCCTCCTCATCCCCTGCAGCCGTGGGGACGTGGCCACAGATTGTCCAGGAGGCCATGGGGCCTCCAGCTGGCCTCCACCCCAGCCCTGCCTCTGCCCATCCAGCACCCCTCCCTCTCTGTTACAGTAACCTGAGTGAGTCTGTTTCTTGTACCCAAAGTGCCAGAGACTCTCTGTAATTTATACTGGTTCAGATTAAACCCTCCAGCCCCTCATATCTGTGGGGTACTTGTCCATGTCTGGCCACACCAAGCCCCACTGCTGTCCCTCCACCTGGCCTGCATGTTGACACCCATGCATCTGTTCACGCTGGTCTTTCCACCCCCAACTGCTTCCTCTGCATTCCCCAGGAAACCAAATCATGCACTGCCCTGTGTGGCCCCAGAGCAAGGACCAGCATCGACAGAGAACGAGAGAGAAACAGACACAGAGACAGAGACAGAGAAACAGAGAGACACAAAGACAGAGACAGACAGAGACACAGAAAAGGAGAGGCAGAGAGCAAGAGATAGGAAACAAGCCTTATTTCCCCTAAAAACCCAAGCAGCATTCTCATCTCACCATCACTGTGCCCTCCAGAAAGTGTGAGGAAGCATTTATGTATCTCCACTTTGTCCTGAACAATGACAGTGACTGGTTTCTGTGTTCACTGACCAAGGAAACTTACGGCATTTCTACGGGTGCTGACTGTGCCCTCTGCTCTCGATTGTGTGGTATGGACGCTTGCGTTACTGGGATGGAAGAATGAGCCTGTATTGTGTGTGATGAAAATGACAGCACTTTGAATAGTGTCTTCTCGTGTTCACGGTGTCTGGCACTTTCTGCTGGTGGGGAGTGGGTTGTGCTGTGTCAGGGCTCAGAGGAGGTGGCCCTGGAGGCAAGGCAGGCACAGCAGAGAGCTCAGGACACCTGGGACAGAGGCAAGTGGGTGGGGTGGAGCGCTCTTGGCAGGGGCAGTGGGAGCCTTGGGGTGAGTCCTGGCCCAGCAGGGGACGACGCAAGCCCCTAGAACCTCGAGGATGAGAGGAGATGATGCCAGCAACAGCTGGCCTTCATCAGGCTCCAGACCACTGTGGCCACAGCCTGTTTCTCCCCGTTACTAGGATTGCTTTCAACTTGCGGGTATTACAGAAACATGTTTAAAATCTATGTGGCCTCCACTTCCACAACAGCGTTCATCCAAATGAAACAGTGGAAAGTGACGGGGCCCCTGGCTTCCAGGGTCAGCCTCCCTCACGGTCTCTTGTTGCTATGGGGTCAGTTTCCATCACTGATGCCTACGGAGAGGCCTGGAGGTACCGTCACTGAAGAAGAGTTCATGGAGACATGTGAGTCATGAGAACGCAGTCCAGAGGGCTCACCCTAAGGCTCTTGGGATGGACCGAGATGCACTTGCTCCCGGGACTGAGAGAGCACTGACTGGCACAGCAGAGGGGCTGCCCTTGCCCTGGACCACACTGGCTCCAGCTGCTCTGGAAACTGCTGATGCCCTGGGACCTGCAGCACCACTCCCAGGACGGCAAGTGGATGAAACTCGGCACAGCCGAGGCCCCAGGTCAGCCACCCACAGAGCACGCACCCCGGGGGAGATGTGCCCTGGAGAGCGCAGCAATGGACAGCTGTCCAGCGGACAGGAGGGGCTGGCAGGGGGACAGCCTGACCACATGTCACCAGAGAGAGGCCCTGGGGACGTCACGAGGGACACAGTCGGGAGGCTTCTGAGTGCACAGCTCAGCTCCACAGCAGCTTTCTAAGAAAACCTCGGGAAGAAAACACTAAGGAAACACGGGGCAAGCAGCCCAGGAGGAGGCCCCACAGAGCGGACCTTGCTGGGTGTGCCAGACCACAGGCGTGTATGTGGCCTCCTTTGTGTCCGCAGCTCCCAACAAAACAGTAGAAGACTGACGTGCCGCTGACTTCAGGCTCTGCCATGAAGAAGCACATCCTGATGTATGTGGGGTTTGACGGTGAGGGACGTGCCGGACATTTCAAGGTGTGTGCGGCTGTGCCGGGTGAGCTTGCCAAGGACATTAATGCAGGTGGCCCTCCCTCCACCACTGCACCCTGATCTTTATGAAACTCGCACCCCATCTCCCCACACTCGGCGCCCTTGGGGTTCCTGTCACCTCAGGATCTCCCCAACCACTTATGGCTGCCCCTTTCTGCGGCCACGTTAGCCCTTTCCACCCCTCTGAGATGCTGGGTCCACCTACTCTGGGCTTTTTCTCACGCCACTGTCACCGGCTTGACTGGCCCCGGGGAGGAGGGGCCCCTCCTGCTTCTGATCCTTCAGGCTCAGCTTAGGGTCGCACCTGCCCCCTCCAGCTGCGGTCATTGTGTCTTTACCCACTGGTGCCCTGTCCACTCTCCCCCTCCACAGGGCAGACTCCCCGGGGCCTGAGGTGGCCCACCATTGACCACAGCCTCCCAGAAGTCTCTGCAATTGCTAGTTGAGTGAATCATTAGAGAAAATCAAAGTAGACATGAAACAGAACAGAATGCCATGCGGACCTGAGGGAGGGGAGGAGGGCAGCAGCCTTGGCATTTTAGTGACCAGCACCCTTCAAAGGACAGGACCCTTTGGCCATATGGTGTAGATGCCACTGCACTGGTGCCTTTGAATGCTCGTGGAGGGCACCGTGCTTCCCAAGGACCCACTGGCATCAGCTACATGGCCCTGGACTCGGCAGACCTGTTCCGCCTCCACTCGCATGCCAGGGACCACACTAAGGTTAGCATCACCACACACAGATGGCCAGGGCACTCTTGACTTGTCCTTGGGGAACCGGCATTCCTCTTGGAGAGACAGGGAAGTCATTCATCTCCGTGTCCCCAGAGGGTGGCATTTGGCAGGGCCTTGCCCCGTCTGGAGGGTCAAGTGTGTGGAAGGCTCTCCAGACTCTAAATTAAAGGCAGGAAGACTAAACCATGGAGCAGATCACAGAGTGGGTAGGCAGAACTCAGCTGGCGTCCTGCCCCCAGTCAGCCTGCGGGGCCCTCTAGCAGTGTGGTCCCTCAACGCCACCTGGGAGGCCCCTCTGCCTGCCTAGCACTGGCCAGCATCACTGGCTGCTTCCTGAACTGTTATTGTTACTTTTTTTTTTGAGATGGAGTCTTGCTCTGTTGCCAGGCTAGAGTGCAGTGGCGCGATCTCAGCTCGCTGCAACCTCCGCCTCCCGGGTTCAAGTGATTCTCCTGTCTTAGCCTCCTGAGTAGCTGGGACTGTAGGTGTGTGCCACCACACCCAGCTAATTTTTATCTTTTTAGTAGAGATGGGGTTTCACCACGTTGGCCAGGATGGTCTCGATCTCCTGAGCTGGTGATCCACCCGGCCAGGGCCTCCCAAAGTGCAGGGACTACAGGTGTGAGCCACCACGCCCGGCCTATTATTACTTATTTTCTTAAGTGCTGTTTGTAACAGAGGAGTACTTTGTTAAGATCAGTGTCATGCTTTTGAAAATGCTCCGTTTAGAGCATTAGAATGGGTTGACCATTCTCATCCACGCATTACCTCCCCACCCATGGTCGCCTGTGTTGCTTACTATAAACACAAGCTCAGGCCTCAGAGCATTTGTCTGCTCCCAATAACACTGTTTTTAAATATATAAGACAGAGGGGCTGGGGGCTGTGGCCCATGGCCCATGGCCCATGCCTCATGCCTGTAATCCCAGTACTTTGCGAGGCCAAGGTGGACAGATTGCTTGAGCCCAGGAGTTTGAGACCACCCTGGGCAACATAGCAAGACCCACCTCTACAAAATGTTTGCTAGGCATGGTGGTGTGCACCGGTAGTCTCAGCTATTCAAGAGGCCGAGCCCAGGAGGTGGAGCCTACAGTGAGCCGTTATCACACCACTGCAGTCAGCCTGGGAGACAAAAAGAAGAGGAGGAAGAAAGCACTCAGGATTGGCCGGGCGCGGTGGCTCACACCTGTAATCTCAGCAGTTTGGGAGGCTGAGGCAGGTGGATCTCAAGGGCAGGAGATCGAGACCATCCTGGCCAACATGGTGAAACCCCGTCTCTACTAAAAATACCAAAAAAA